CTTGTATGTATTATTAATGATATCCACCTATTTTCCGTACGTTGTGGTACCTGCTATTTACAACATACTCGCCATAGATCGGGATCCAAGATGCAGTTAAATGGAGGACCATAGTAGCTTTAATGCTAGCTATGATATGGGTTCGAATATCGAGTATCGATTTTATCACCTGGCTACCCGCTGCAAGGAGGAAAAAGCAGTTCCTGATGGTTCCTAGGATACATCAAGATTAGGGTAGTCATTTGCTATGACGTTACCAAATAACAAGCAATGAAAATGTTTTGAGTTTCTTCTTTCATCAGGGATTGTCTATTTTTCGAAAATAACGGAACTTAACAAAGATTTATCAAAGATTTTGAAGTACAGGAACCCGAATCTATAGTTGTTTCCTCATAATTTGTGTGTATGTTTCCTTTAGCAAACCTTCCATGGATTCGAATATATCAATCTCGCAAGTTTTTTTTATCAAACGTTGTAAAAAAATCGTCATTTTCGAAAGATAGACTTTTTCTGAGCCAAAAAACCAAAAATCAGTTAAATCTAACTGTCACCGTCTATCCATAACCTTTGACAGACAGACATGATATATTATATACAACGATATGATCCAGATTTTCTTCTTTGATTTAAGATGCAGGTAGTATTTTGTGAGCCACATTAATTTCCAGTGTGCTTCAGTGAATTGTAAGGGACTTTGTTTAGTTTTGACGAACTTTGGTAAGCTCTAATATATTTCAATGCACACGAGGGGTGACACTTCAACTTTAAAACTTGAAGTTTAAAGTGATGCTTCAGACCTATACAGTTTAACATTAAAGTTAAAGTACTTTAACTTTGATTTTAAAGTTCAAGTTAGGGTCAAAATCAATGGATAATTTTAGAAGAAGAGCTAAGAATTATTTTTGACTTTAATTCTGATTTTTTATAGTTCAAATTTTAAAGTATCATACTTTAACTTTGAGTTTTAAAGTTTAAAATAACACTTGAACTTTAACTGTTAAAGTTCAAAGTAATAGTTTAACTTAAAATTTTTAAATCAGAGTTAAAGTGCAACCCCTAATGCACACTAATCAAACTACTCTAGGATCCATGAGGATCCAAAGGGAACTAGGAACCTAGAATCCACCTTTTCTCTCTTGTTTTGGGTAACCGTCTGAGAATAGTAATAGACTTTAGTAAATTCTAACGAATTGTGATAAATTCTAATGGGTTTTGATACAAATCAAGGAATCTACCCTAAGAGTCACTAGGATCCACCAGGAACCGTCAGGAACCACAGGATCCAAGGTCCAGGAACCACGTTTCCCTCCTTGGCCCACTGTGCCCCACACCCACCCACAGCCACACCCATACCCGCATCCTAAAAGCAATTTTATGTTGCTTTTATGGCACTTTTTTCTTCTACAAAGATTACTTTTCTTTGAAGAAAAATAAAGTATTTAAGCGTTGGAGCCTTATCGAGTTTCTATTAATTGAGGGATTACGTTACCTGCTTCTTAGACTTCAGCGAATGCGAAAAACATTAAAATATTCATTAGATATAAAAAAACGGATATCGCCACTATTACCTGTTTCATTTCAATACAAGCGATGGTTTCAATAGCAACTCGTTGTTTCGTACTCATTCTATTCAGGTAATTATAAAATCTGTTGCTTTCCTATGTAACTAACGTTTAACAATCTTCCTTTTAAGTCTTACAGGTTTGATTTCCTTGTTTTCGTTTTACATATTCTGCTATTAATTGGATCTGTTAATAGCTCTGGTGAAATCTCAATTATGCCGTGGAATATCTCAATATGGTCAATGCTCATCGAATAGGGCGTGTGGCTGTTTCCTCATGCCAGGTACTATTGACACTGGCATTTGTGGCTTTCAATGGCCGGAATGTTCGGAGCTAGTTACATGTGAAAGCTCAGAAAATGTTTGCCGTGCACCTGATCATATTTGTGTGAATCATCCTCGATGTCATAATCGACCTGTTTGTTATCCAGTGTCGATGATGGGTCGACAAATCTGTCCCTCAACAGCACGTAAGAAAAACAAACGATGATATGCAGATTTAAGTGGAACTCGATCGTTTCTCTAAAGATACGTTTTCACTGCTCATGCAGTCGCATATATGCAGTTCATATAAATCTAAAAACGACTGTAAAGAGTCGATGGAACGTGTAAAAAATTAGAGAAAACGTGACAGGAACAAAGTGACTCTTAATCAATATGAGTATAGAGTTTGGTTTTCTCATTTTGTGTGCACTAGAGTTCGAAACAAAACGAAAAACTTATCTTTCTATTCGATTTGATGCGATTCGATTTTGTAGGATGTGTCAAATATATTAATTTTTTTAGTATTAAACTCATTCAGCTAATCTTTTTCAAAACGATACTTAAAATAGTGATCTTGTACTACAATGACATACAATGCATCTAAATCTTTGTTTTCATTTAAAGTACAATTTATTTCAAGCAGGTCTAACAACATGAAGTCGACAAATAATTTATACAATGCTTTAAGAGAAACGACTTTTTCTTTTTTTTGCGATTCACTACTCTGTTCTCAAGATTTTCATAATCACGACAGCAGATGCGGTAGGGTTGCCACCTCGTGGCCATTTGAAAAGTAGGCATCGACCTATGAAAACAGAGAATGACAGAAGTTTAATTTTCCAACAGCAGAAAAAAAGCAGAATTTTTTTTCTAATGGCAAACCATAGTTTAAACTTTGATACAATAGCATAATAAGGATGTTTCATAGTAGATTTTACCCTTTATTGAACAAAATTAAGAAAAAATCTAATAAAATAGATCAATAGAAAAATTGAACACATTTCTTTTGGAAAGTATGCTTTTCATTTGATTTGATGGCATTCAGTAAATTTGGATTGCAGAATATGCTTTTATACATATTAGCACATGAAAAAGTTGAATTAAAACATATTTATAATTGAGCTCATACTTATACTTCAGTATTGTTATCAACACCAATCTGACTATCGTCAGCATCATCAGTCATTTTTCTATGTCCATGCAGTTGCTATTACTCATGAAATTGCTTATTCTCGCCAAACAACACTCAAAGATTACATAGATTGATATGCATAACTCAGATGGCTAATAGAAAATATGAAGGAAAGAAATGCATAGATAAAGAACGAAGCTAAAAGTAGCAATATAGATAGATGGTCAATTTTTTCTTCTTCAGTGGAAAGCAGAGATTATCCTCACATTATCCCATAATACGGAATGATAACACAAAAATATCAGTGAATATTGACAAGAACTTTCATAGTATTTTCGAAATGATGTTCAATTACGATCAAAAGCTTCAGTTAAAAATATAAAAGACAGACTATTTGAAAAAAGCAGAAAAGGTGGCAACCCTAAGATGCGGTAAACCTAACCAACCTTGGCAGATTCAGCTCAGACAGATTGCATTAATTCGAATCATTGACGATTCGACTATAACTTAATATCTGATGTTCACATGGATTTTTCACCAAAAATGAGTTTTTAAAAAGAAAACCTCGCTTATCAGACTATCCAACGGTATCGTTCTTTTATAAAACTCTACCTAACCTTCATCTAAAACTTAAAGGCACTGAATCCATTAACATTCTCTGTCAGACGTAATACTATCTGCTATGTTTACACGAATCTTTCATATTAATGGATAGCGACAAACACTTCAACTACAACTACAATTCCAGCTACAACTACAACTACAATTTCAACTACAACCAAAGTCACACTTCCACAACCGGGTAAGCTGTAGATTATGTCTTCCTGATCTTGCTAAATACTAATTTTTAATCAAGTATACATTTTTTTACTTTGTATGCAATAATACTCTGCGACTATGTGAAGCGTAAATCAATTAGTATATGGGCGTGAGTACGTGTTTATGCATCGTTTCATACCCACACCTACGCTCAATTAAGTGCTCTATTGTCTAGACTGAAACAAACGTCATGCGAACTAAAATAAGTGATACGTCGACAGCTGAGCCTCATTTATGTGTGTCCCAACAGTTGAGTTCCAGCATGTAAGTCAAGAGAGTTGAGCTTCAGTAGGCTACATAGATTTCAATATGAATCTCGCTCTCTTGAAACCATGTTATCATGTATACAGGTGAAAACTACACAGTAATTGTTATTGGCTGTGAGCTCTGAAAGTGAATACGAATATAGATGCAACATATTCGTTCATTCGCACGTTCACACTACACCCTGATAGAATGAAACTTTTCGCCGTTCTCTTTCAAGCATACTATTCAGACGAATGCATCGCCGTAGAATGAAATGATAATTCAATATTAAAAAAATAAAAAACAGTTTTGTTAAAAGTTGAGAATAACAGTTAGTATTTCATATTTCGAAAACCAAGTATTCATCAATTAATAATTGAAAGCCATAGGAAATTTGGAACAGTCTCTGTTGCAAAAGTCATCATGGGCTGGGTCAAGCAAAGTCCAGCCCATCCATGGACTGAATTTTTTGTGTGACAAGAAAACCATGGATGGGTTGAGTCGATTCGTTTTTTCTATGGGTATCCATGAACTCCGCTCTTCGGCCTATGAATGGATGAGGGTGTGAGTGCGGAAATGAGCCTTTCATTGATTCACACCCACACGCGCGCTTTTGTTTATAGAAATTATTTGATACTAATGATTATGTGAAATATATTGTGATTTAATATATCAAATTAAAGAATAATTGATGACGACAATTAAGTTTTATAACCATAACAAGCCAGACTGTTTTGGGCGAAAATATTTAACTAGATGGGACATCCATGGGTGCCCATGAGTCATCTGCCACAGGCGTAGTTGGGCCAAAGTTCGAAAACCCATGGTTCGGCTTTCTTAGGCTCAGCCCAGCCTATTAGGATCTCTACACTGTTTTTTCAGCTTCACATAATTTTTTCCATTATATTGAGATTATGGACGTTCACCCGGTTATCTGTTTATCGAAAAAAAAATACGAGGCACATTTTAACAAGATTCATGTTTATTCAACCGCCAAACTTGTTGTTACTTTCAGCACCATTACGTGGAAGTTCGACTGACATTCATCCGAACGCCAAATGGCAGCAGAATGGTATTACTGTGGCTGGAGGAAATGGACCTGGCTATGGAATCAATCAACTCTATTATCCATGGGGTTTGTATGTCGATGATGACCAAACTGTCTATGTCGCTGAAGTAGCAAACGCCCGTATTATGGGATGGAAACAGGGTGCGACACGTGGTCAAGTAGTTGCCGGTGGAAATGGACNTTAAAAAAAGTGTTTATAAACATCGATTTTTAGATTTCCAAAAAAAGACTGGCGACAATCACGATCACGCAGTTCACTCATTACAGGAATTTCCGCCAACTACATTCCGTAGTAACTAAAGATATAAGACTTTTAATAGGGGTTAAAGAAAATCAATTTAGGTTCGACCATATGATTCCATTTCGAATGCTAATGTTAGCTTACATGACGATCTGAAAAAAAGTGGTATGTGCATTAGTAACAATTAACGGTTTTGTCGTTATTTGTATTTCTTTTTTTCTGAATATAGATTGCATTTCAAAATACTCAAAACGTATGGAAACAAAGGAACTAGAAATAATTCTTGAAAGTGTGGATGAACTAAAAACTCATGCCGGTGCCCTTCTACAGATTGACGACATCCTATCTACTAATTGATCTAAGTGACAGGGAACATCAAAGTGTGGATGCTGCGGTGTCATTGATTTGGACAAATACTCACACTCGCACTCACAGAACACTTGCACTAGATACTTCATGAAACATTTAAAAAGTACTCTGATGAATAAGAGTTTGAAAATCATCCTGTGACTATGAAAAGTTGTACTCGTGCAAGACACTACTTCTGATTTTTCCTGACTTTCATGCATAGGTATTCGCTTTTCTGACATCAAAATTATTCAATATGAAATATCATAGAAAGAGAGCAGTAAGAACATAATAAACTACTTGATATTGTGTAGAATTCGATGAGCCTTCTGTTGGTATATTTGGAGATGAACTTTGAAAAAAACTTAATGATAATTTTCCATTCCTATCATAGAATTTAGCTTGTTCAAGAGAACAATTTTTTTGTTGAATCGTTCATATCATGGAAATCAGCTTAATAGAAAGAGCTTGCTTTGTCCATTCTAGGATTGTGCATATGGAGCCATTTTGATGTCAGAAAAATGATCATTTGTGCTTGAAAAACAGAAACGTTTTGCTCTGAACATGTTAAAAAATTATAGTAAGATCTATCTACTAGAGAAAAAAGAAAAATTTTATTTCATTTTTCTCTTCCTTAAATGAAAAAATATGAGCTTTCTGAAAACCTGGGGTCTCTACACAATCGACATATTAAAAATTCGATAGCTTAATCAATTTAATCTATTATTTCTATCCTTTACTTTTAACCATTCGTCCCTTTAAATATCTATCATAAGAAGTTTTTCTGTCTTGAATTATATTGTATTGCAATATGATCGCTATCGAATTAATTTATTTTAATATCAAAGATAACATCGATCATACAAAGAATTTGTCAAGTCATTCAAAATGACAATGAACAGATCATTGAGATTTAATCGATCTTCATCGTAGTTTCATCAACTTGTTTATCATATTCAATGATTAACATTTGCATTTTCATTATTAATTCTATCAATAGTATTGAATTTTATGTAGAATCAGCAATAAGAACTCAATAAAAAAAAATAGAAAATGACACATGTTGAAGTATACGTGACTCTCATTGATTTAGAGTTTTCATTGGTAATGAAAAAAAAAAGTATTATCAAAAACAATGAAGATGTAGGTGAAAAACTATTTAGTTAAGCTAGAAAAAAAACTCGACATTATTCGGCAATGTTTTCTTTAAAGCTGTTTGTATTTTTTTTTCTACAGATTTTGTAAGACAGATTACGATAATTATAAAAATCATTTCTTTTTCACATCCAATATGTAACTACTTGTTTGTTTGTAAAAACAAGAAAACAGTTGAATTCTGTTTTGACTATTTTTACTTGATTAAAAAGAAAAATTATCTTTTTTTCATTGTAGAACATTTAATAGGAGAATCAATATTATTGATGTAAATGTTCATATTAGTTTTCATAATTCAGTGTATTATTTTTTTGATTTCTCATTGATAAAAGAGAATAATGTAACTATTAAATAGTTCGAAATAAATATCGTCTTTGTTTAGAATCAAGAGTATTTATTTTTTGGACTCTTATCTATGAAATCAATTGCAAATCATGAAGAAACATCGTATTTCGTAGATAATATAGTTTTGATTATAAAAATGTCATTTTTTGATTGTAAATATCTATTTATCTACACTGACTACAAATGATTCTCAATGATTTCCATATATCAAAAACAGTAATTTGCTCTGTGCTTTTCCTTTTTAATGTTTTTTTTATAATCGAACGAGCGCTTGTTGTATTCTTAGTGAATTTCCCAATAGACTGAAGAATCTTTTGAGGGAGATTATTTTATTTATTTTAGATATGGGATGTGTGCCCTCACTTCATTCGAACTTCCATCCACACCCACATCCTGATGAATGGTCAAAGAAAAAAGATGATACAGAATATTAACATTTGCTATCTGTCTTTCACTTGAAATCCAGCCATGGACAACATGAGAGCTACTCAAAGAATAGTCGAAGTAGTATAGTTTAGTGTTCTGCTCAAACCATTCACGTGTGACTAATACAGGATTGTGGTTCATGATATCATCGAAATGGTTGATCCATAAATATGAAACTGTCATTGTCATATTGTTCAAAAGTTTTGACAGATCGATCAGATTTGACGACAGCGTTTCTGAAAGAGTAAAGTAAGGGTTATTTATGTATAAGCGATTGATATGAAGGCACTGGTAGATAAAAAATGATACGAAATTTCAGATATTTAAATGACATAAACGCAAACGAAGCAGACCATATAGAATACGAACGAAATGAACATCTCGTCTCTCTCTCTCTGTTTTTTATGTGTCCTTCAAACATTTGCTGATTCTTGACATCTCCATATAATTCGAAATATACATAAGTTTAATATCGAGGTTTTCATTCATGATTAAAGTATTGACACTTATGTAAGGTCTTAAAAGTGTTTGCTCGAACAGACATTGACGATCAACAAACAGACTTATAATGTGTGAAAATATTGATGATTCTGGTCCTGTTGACTTTATTATACACATGTGCTCTATGTTTGGATACGGACATCCTCTTTTCTTTTAGTCAGAATCGACTGTGAAACGAATCGAGATTGATTAAGTCATTGTTTGCAATGCGAAAATGAGAACTTGCATGTAACAATTTTTCTCATGACTCGTGCCTGTGTATCTCCGTCGACAATATCACCTTCCTTAATATTGACAAGAATAGTAAGGTGAGTGAAATGACTTATTGCAAACAATAAAAGTTCGAGCTCTGTCTTAGTGGCTCCATACATTATGAGTGATAATCGTTACAAATAGATCGGTAGTTGCACCAATGGACTTCAATGTCAGTTCCACAGTTCTACATTGAACTCGTGAAGTATAGGTATGACGGAAAACATATGGTTCAAGTCGACCATAATTTTGAGTAGATTCAAATATTGTATGGAACATGCTCTCGATAGAAATCAACATAAGCAAAACGAACAATGATAGTCGACTTCTAATCGAATTTCATGTACTTGAATTTGACCTGATACTAAGTCCTCGAAGACAAAGTAGGAAATGTGTCATGGAAGTTGAGAAAATTTGAGAAACAAATAATCTTAATACTCGTCATCGGACCATGTTGATCAGCGAATTGAAGCGAGACAATGCAAGTTGACATCATTGATAGCTGGGAACAGACGAAATCGAATTGGTTCTTTGTCTGAAGTACACAACACTACGAAGGCGTTTTTGTTTACCATACATACTGATCTCAACATATCGAACTCAATATTGAATACATAACATATGATGTTAACTTGTTCTCACGAGAAAAAGAGTGATGCATTTTAGAAAAAAAAAGAAATATTTTCAATCCGATTTGATCTCACGAATAAATCGTGCAGATGAACTTTGTTCTTGTTCGACAAGTCAACTTGAACTTAATATCTTTAATTGAGGCAATATTTCATTGACAGTATATGACATGCATTTGCTTAAAATAAATTTTCATTAATTGATTGAACAAGTCTCGACTTGTTAGTTTATAACTTTGGCATATTTCGGTTGAACAATACAATTTCGAGTAACAACTTCTGCAGTAAGATTAGACAATTTATTCAAACAAGATTCATATCAAATAAAGTCATTCTAACAATTAACAGTACAAATATCAAAGAAAAAAAAAAGAGTAATATTAGAATTTTTGTACACATAAATAAAAAAATACAATAGATTAACTAGAGCCATAAATGAACTTTCCATTCGTTGTCTTGAAAATAGTCAAAGTGACACAATTTTGTATTTTGTTCGAGCCATTGACGTGTAACTATTCGAGGTTTTAAATCATTGATATAACCATAGTGGCGAATAAATACTTTCGATAACGTTATCGTCATATTATTGAATAATCTTGATAGATTCCGAACACCTCGCCGATCAAAATTTAACCGTTCAAGATGGCTAAACGAACGCCAAAGTGCATCAATTTCATTTGATGATAGCTGTTTAAATCTACCATGTGAATCATACTTCATGTTGAGAGCGATGATTTGCGGCCAATGTCGATCAAAAAGTAAGATGAGAGTCGAAATGTGCAAACAGATTGAACGTAAATGTGGAAGATTATGAAGAATTCGTACAAATTCGCTGTTTGTTTGGGTTGTTTCCGATTCGCCTTGTATGAAACAAGTGATTCGTGATAAATTGATATAACGGTCGATGTATTCGAGTGAAATATTAAGATCTTTTTCGACGATTAACGTATGAGCATGAGTAAATCGACGTAAATGTACTTCTGACATTGGTAATTCAATGTTAAAAACGAGATATTTAGTATGCAAACATGTCGTCGATTCTAATCCAGTTGATTCTGTCACCAATGTTTTCTTCATAAATGATAATGGATAACAATAGTCTATAAAGCATGGATTTGTATAGAGAAACGAAGAGGAAGTATCAGTCCATTGATCAAATGTCACATACCATTTTTTTTCTTCGAGCCAGAATCGAGTACGAAATGAGTCAAGATTGACATCGACTTTATTTGAAATACTAAATACGAACTGAAATATGATAATTCTAGTTAACAATGGTATCCATGCATGGCCATTAATCATGTCACTTTCCACATTAAAGATATTAAGACAAAGATGAGTAAGACGAGTCATCGGTGAAAGAAAACGTTTAATATCGAGCATGGTCACACGACTGGTAGTGATCGATAATCGTTGTAAATTAATAGATGGTTGAAAAATCATGTTGATGCCAGAAAATTGAGTATTAATCAATTCGACGTTGAGTTGATGTAACATAGGCGCAATAGCAAAAATTTGATGTAAATTAATTTGAATACCTATTACTGTTAAACATTCAATAGCAGATGTTTGTATTAAAGAAGATGATGAAATGCTTATTGTTTCATTTCGACCATATAATGTGCTAAGAGACAAATGTTTCAATGATTTTACAATGAATAGAAGATCGTGAAAAATAAGTGACATTAATGTTGACGTCGATTCATTTGAATCATGAATAGAACTGATGGATATTGATCTTAATGACATAAATGATGGTAGTCGAGTTCGAATCGAATTCCACATATTTGAATCGATCTTATTGAAAGTAATCGAATGTAAATTTGGAAAAATAACATTCGTAGCAATTGAACAAAAAAAATGATTGATTTTTGCATCTGTTATTCTATCATGATCATCGTCAAAGATTAATGAGAAGATACGAGGTGCCAGATTGGGCAAGTGACGACAGATAAATTCAAATTGTTTTTTCTTTTTGGCTATGCTATTGAAATCGAATCGAAAACGCGAATAGACGAGAGAGACAGAATGAAGACGTCTATTGACAAGCCATACTGATGAGAGAATATCAACGATGGAAAGATGGTCGAAAATATGTTCGATCAATTCAATGGGTAAAACACTTAGATAGTCTGACATTTTGTGAGTATTCATTGGATAAATATGCCGCTATTTATATTTGAAACAAACAATAGTCGACGAACTAGCTGATTGAATCAGTACGATGATATGTCGCATAAAGTGCATACAATTCCAATCATTTTTTTTTTCTAGAGGTCGTATCTGTCAGACCAATTAGACTGTTTCTTATTGCCTATAACATATTTCTTCAAAGCAAAAAAACGAATTTCTTCGGACAACACGATCAATAGAAACGTTCAAATATATTTTACTTTGCTAGAAATTGAGAAAGCTTGCAGATTCAAGTTGAGCACAAAGATTGTATCGAGCATATTCCGTCAAACAGAAAGGTGGTATTTGATAGAAAAAAAACGAACAGATTCGATCAATAGAATTCCTTTTCACCACGAAATTTATGAAAACAATTTACTTGATGATAACTTAAACAGTAATGATGAAAAAATTAATAATAAAATCTATTATGTTCCATAATCTTTGTGAAGCAAACTAATTACATTGAAATATCTCTTCCTGTAAACAATCATTTATACAATGTTATTTTTTAATAAAGTTTTTTAGTCAATTATCCATTTTGCTCAACCATGATGTGTGATGTTGTTTTTCCATTATATCTATTCATGTTGAAGCTTATGTTTTTTCTCTATAGATGAGCATATTCTTCAATTTTGATTTAACACATTTGAATAATATTTTAATCATTTGATCAATATTGAAGTGTGACTAGTCGATTATATTAATCTAATGAAGAATATAATCTGTTTGAAAATTAATCTAAACGGCTATTTTTTCATTGATTTGCCGAAATTGCATATGTAAGATTGCATTTTGTCTTTCATGGCACACAATGTAATTTTTCCGTGAATAACATCATCAACGTACAATACTTGAATATTGCTGATATATCAAGTAGATCAAGACAATTCCTTAATTTTAGATGAAGATTATTATTGAGAAACGGAATACAAAAAAGAATCGCCCGCAGATCTTCAACAATTTTGACGAATAATGATACTTCTTTGATTTCTTAAAATCGTTTAAAATCGTTTGGTTTACTTCGGTATGAGAGAGTAATGGATTTTACTTCGTGTTTATATAACTGTAAAGCAATATTTTCGGTGGAAATCATTTCTATTCCATTGAAATATGGTACGTTGGTCCTAGAAAAATGTTCAGTTGACACAATAACATAATCAAATTTCATCAATTAGGTTTTATCTATCTGTAAATCGTTGACTAGAACAAAAAATATTTTCTTTTCGTCAGAATAAGAAATCCATCGAATGACTATGTTAAACTGAATATACTGATGAACATTGTTCTGATTCGCATATCTTCGAATATACTCAATAATAACCGTTTGATTTCTAAATGAGAATGATTGGTTGACCAAAGTATTTATAGAATAGATATTCAACAAATTGTGAGCATTCTTTCGGTAAATTTATCCGTAAGTTTTGATACATACTACTATAGACAGGTTCAAAATATTCATCGGATCCTGTTGGCCAAATATAATTCCATTGATCACCAAGATCATTTTGTTTTTCAAAACATACGATTTTCAGATATTTGGGAACCACATTGTCGAGCTGATTCAAATGCATGTAACTAACTAGAACCAGAAGGATCTACTCTGCAAAGTGCAACTCGAGTTGATGAATAGGACAAAAATAATATCTAAAGTGCTGCTCTATGATGATCACTGTTGCACAACAATATTAAAACTCATTGTTGTTGATAAAGACTACTTTTTAAAAGTACAGAAATTACTAATTACGAAAATATTCGAACAAAAATGAAATCACAATGATGATAATAAAATAATGAAAGCATTATTATAATTTTGATTCCGGGACGGATCACTATATCTTAAACATCTTTTAGAAAATGTTCTAACTCTATAACATTTTTAAACTGTGTCATTTGAAATATAGTTTACATGAATAATAAATTCAGTGAAGAAAAACATGCGTTGTAGGAAATATTTATTATTTCATTTCTAAAGTGAAGACTGAGATCTTTTTAAAGGTCGCATAAAGAAGAACATGAGTGAAATATTTAGAAGCAAAAATTTTCATTTTTCGTTAGCTCTCACAGTATGATAAGCGTACAAGATAAAGTTTTTAATCGTGCAATACAATTTGCAAACAACTTCTGTACTCAATTAGAAAATTGATTTATGTTTCTTTTTTTACTTTCTTCCTTTTTATGATAAATAAAAGGCATATAACTATGCTACACAGTTAAAAACTTTCTCTTGTATGAATATGCTACACTCACTTCACATGATAGGCGTAACCTATATATGAAACCTTCGCTTGAAAAACTTTAATAGATGGACTCAGTTGATATTTATCATTTGTTTTTTTTTTTGTGCACAAAATGAATGACCGTTATTCAAATATGGCATAAAAACTTGCGCAATACTTTGAAAATTGAATTTAGTTTATATTCTTTTTCTTTTCGCTGATTACGGCAGCATTTGGCCTGCGTATTTCAGACATATAGATTGTTTGTGTGTGTAAATCATCGAATAATACTTTTCCGTTAAGAAAAAAAAGCGAAAATATTTGTTTAGAATGAAATTCTTCATCATATATTTTTTTTAAAGAAAGAGAAAAATTTTCTTTCAATTCAATATTTTTTCTACATTTGATTATTAGTTAGAAGAGACTGAAGTTCGTAATGATGATGATTATGCATGTTGAATAGACAAACAATCAATTGTGAACAAAATAATAGTGAACTAAGAGAAAACGAGTTAATTTCAAAATGGTTAAAGGAATAAGATTGTATAATATTGAAAACATATCTAGACTGTTTAATTGCATCCAAAACAAAAATAATTATTAACTAATGATCCACTTCACAAGCAAATAAGCTCATAGAAAAAAAAAACTACGATTGTTATGAGCAGATTTCTATTCCAGTAACATACTCTGTCACAGTTATTAATACTATTGTATTTTTTTATACACTTATTTTTATCTAATTTTTTAAAATATTTAATTCAGATAGATTGTTTATTAGGAAAATAAAATTTGAAAATTAGTTTCTTCATTAAAAAATCAAGAAGATAAATCCTGAGATCAAGTTTGTTCTCGTTTATTTATGAATCTATAAATTGTAAAGTGGAAAAGTTAACGTTTGCGGATTTATTCGGTAAACTCTTTGCATTACTTCAATAGTGAGTATGAAAACAAAATGATATTTTCATTCACATTTGTAAAAGCATTAGTATTACATTGCCTTATTTCAAATGCTTTATGGGTTAACTATTTATTTAAACCCTTAAAACAACATAGTATTTGATCTATAGACAATATACATGTGAACAATTTGGTCAAACACTAATGAATTTTAGCATCTAAGTTAAGGAAATATTTGTTTAAAATATATTAACCTAAAAACGAATTCATGTCTCTTTAGTATTAGAATTTAGTAAATGAAACAAGATAAAACACATCAATATAAAATTGATTTTTGTGAGGAACTTAAACATTAACATAGAGTTGCAATGAGCAACTCTTATATCTTATCTTTTTCAATATATAGAGAGTTCTCATGCGTACACTCTTGTAAATATCACATCACACATCCCGTTTCATCTTTTATGAAGTTATTATGTTAGGTATACTACATACGAAACAGCAAAACTTTTAATGTACAGCACCTTTTGTATGAATTCGAAAATATATCAGGCTATACAATCTTCATACCTTCGTATGTGTAAAATGTCCACATTGCATCGCAGATTCTCACTTTTTAAGACAACTATTTTATTTCCATGATGATACAAAGCTAAGTGTCTTCTAGAAAACAAGATATTAATAAGATGAATCTTTATAAAATTCAAAATTCGAAATCAACATTAATATGCATTTGTTAGCGTATATAAATAACTTTCAACTTTGGGAAAAACGAAGAACATCAACTGATGACATTTCAAATTGAGCAGATACGAACGAGATTTTTGTTAAAATGTTGTGAAAGTTTCAAAACAACCATCATATTTTTTATTCTCAGAAGTAACCGATAGTCTACTTAGATTATTTGGAACTTCATGTTCATATTGTTTCATCATTATCATTTGCCATTCGTCGACAACAGCCATCTGCTTACGCGTTCTCGCATAGTATTGATTAAATTATAGATATCAGACAATATCTTATGCTTTTTATTCTGCATAATCTCACTCAAACGATCTGCGTATTCACACTGAAGCTATTTCAAGTCATTGATCAATAATAAGCTCAAACAATTCGATTTTTGATTTTCACAGAGATAAGCTTCTTCCACTCTCATTCGCACTAAACCAATAAAAATTTGATCATCTTGAGGATGTGGGAAGGTATGGGATCAACTGAGTGAAAGACCCACACCGACATCCAAATAAGTCAATTATTATTTATGGATCGAAGTTTATCAACATTAAATTAAGAGAATTAGTTTTTTTTAATCAAATTGAATGATTATTGAAACGAGAAAAAAAGTACTAATACATCAATAAGACTAATGAAAAGTTGCTATAATTGAATAACAATCTCATGAGTAATGAATGAGCTTGTCTAATTTTTGTTGATAGATATTTGTTATTTTTCTTTTAATTAAGAAGCGACGGAAACGTCTTTGGAAGAATGTCGAAATCTAATTCTCAATCATGTAACATCGGATTGGTTTTGATATTTTTTTTCTGAAAGATCAAAGTTTGAAGAGCATATACATAATACAAAACAAAACGATTTTCCGGAAGGTCTTTCCATTCTTTAAATTTCCAGGGAAAATAATGGGACCGGAAAATACAGAAAAAAAAACATTCTCGAAGGACATTATGTTTTCTGCATTATTATAAACAATGCTGCTTGAGTATCGTTCTTCACAATGAATAATTAGAAGTAAAAAGAACTGAGAGATACCTTCAATTTTTTTTTCATTCTTCAAGTAAAAAAGTTTCATGCTTGCATTTTTTTGTACTTTGTCTTGAATGGTACTTCCTTTTTTTTTCGTATACTGCGCTATTTACTTTCATGTTTTTAATTTTTTCAAGCACTTAAAAGCTTTTATGTTTGCTTATGATGACTAGTTCAATGGAAATTCGAAGTTGGAAAAAACCAAATTTTTACCTACATATAAAAATGTATCGAAGTCTACACGACATACATTCGTCATAAAGTTAAAAATGAATGTAGTGACTATAAAAAACTGTTTTTGCAAATGTTTGTCGATATTATATGGAATTTTATCTTCTATTACAGTTGAAAATTATGTAAGCTCATCTTCGACGAGACTTTGATAAACAGGAATCATAGAGATGGATGAATTTTCAGTTTATATGACAGATGATGACCAAATATATCGAAGTGCATTAGTCATGCTGAATCGACTATTAGATTATGATCTTACACACTGATTGTAAAAGATAGTTATATTATTGATGAAACTGAATGGTACAAGTTCTTTGTGCTAAGGAAAGAAGAAAGATATCTAAGAGATACAATGCTGCAAGCCGTGATCTTCGATAAGTAACTTGTTGAAGACATATTTATTACAAAAATACTGCAAAAAAATGCCAATCTCAGACCTTTTATTATTAGCCGGAGATAGTTGTTCGGATTTTTAGATCAACACATATAGATGGCTCTCATTTTACAATTAGTTCATCCCTAGGATCTATTAGTTTACATGTCTAAACTGTGTCACGCATTTCAATCGATTGATAGCTTGTACTGCATAAATATAACATTTTGTTTCATAATGCATAACCAAAATCAACCTAGTTTCATTTTACATGTTTCTCAAATGTCTGTAATAGGTCTTGATCAGATCATTTACTATTCATTTATGTATTTAAACCTGCATAATGGATCGATTGATAATTACTAAAATGAAAGACATGAAAAATTTGTGTTCATTGTTTAATACCTTTTTTTTCGTTTCTCTTAAGAGGACAAGTGTGCAGCTGTACAAATATAGCTAATCGGAAAACAAGAGGCTCAGCTCTACCGTTTGAAACCATTTTTACTTTCTTTCTTCAATTTTTTTTCTGTCATACGTAATTTCATTACAAAGAATGTGCATATCAATTTTTATTGATGACTAATTAACAACTTTACAGTTTATGCCTTTTTATTTCTTTTCAGGAAGAAATATGTCAATGGCCCGAATATTCATGGTCATTGAAACCTATGTAGATTTACGAGTTGGTCAACTCGAGTCAGTAATTTATACATAGTACCAAAAGCTTGAGACTCGTTTATATTGCTCGACGGCAATTGGCTTGAAGGATATCATGCATTTGATTATCCCACTGCACGGGGTAGGTCCACAGAATTTCATTCGTTTCCTACGAACTGTATGTTTTCTAACAACGTCGCTATTTTTTAATTCTTTAGACGATTCCGACCGATATGATAACTTGGTCGATCGCTATCACAACAATGTGCATCTTATGCAGTCGCGAGCTCAATTAATACGTGATTTAATTCTTTATCGTCTTCCAACTTCTGTTCACTCGCAATCTAGAATGCTTGGTGCTTTTGCTGCTAGATCTTCACAAGTTGATTATGGAGAACGAAAAATAATTGAAGATCTTCGTCTTAATTATCAATGTTCATCCGTTATTAATTTCTACACAACAGGCATATTTTTTCATCGAACACTGAATCATATTCTCCGACAACAACAACTTCATGATATCTTCTGTATTCGTCATGCAATTATCGATCTGATCAACTATTTACGTCGGCCTTTACCGACAGAAGAGGACAGTGTCTCTTTAGTTTTTTATCGTGGTCAACAAATGACTATTTTCGAACTAGAAAAAATGAAAAACAATGTGGGAGAAATTTTTAATGCTGCTCCGTTTCTCTCTACTTCTATGAATCATCAAGTCGCTCCAATATTCGCGGGCGATGGATCTGACAATGATCCTTGTATTGTTTCAGTCATTTTAAAAATTTATCTTGACACTGGCCAACCAATGCGACCGTATGCTCGTATTAATAACAGTGGTGAAGACGAAGTACTATTATCACCTGGCACCAAATTTGTTCTTATGTCCTGTCGAAAACTTCATGATAGAGGTCGACTTTGGCTTTTAGAACTGAAAGCCATTACAGAAAAACAACAAGAAAAACTGGAATTAAATTATGGAGAAACTTTTTTGCTTCTTAGTGAAGCACGTGGATGGCCGACATCGGTCGTGATTGTTCATATGTAAATCACCTGATGAGACCCTTGAGCAAGGTCGAAACTGAGCTCGGCCATTCACTAACATTTCGTCAGATATGTTTATATATTAAAATTTCATTTTCAATAAAAAAAAAACCTTTTTTTTTGTATGTTATAAACAAATCAGATATTCTTCTTTACAAATACATAATATTCATTTTTTTTATTTGTCTTTGTTCATCAAATGGTGTAACAACAACCACAGCAGCTTCATTATTTTTTCATTTTCTTGCTTTATCAAGAAAATCTTGTTCACATTATTTTAATGATATTGAATGAGCAATAGATTTCCCTTGTGTACATTTAAGAGCAGCTTCAACAACAGTAAAATTTGAAGAATCAATACATAAAGGTACATGTGCTATATCAGATTTTCATGCAAGAAGATTAATAAATTTTGCCATTATTATTTGACCATCAATCATGTCTTCATCTATATTTAAATTAAGTATTTGTGCTCCAGATTCAACTTTAGCTGTAGCCATTTGAAGAGCTGCATCGAATTCATTCTCTTTAATAAACGAAAAATATTGACGACTCCCAGCAACATGACATCGTTTATCATACCTGAAATGGACATTTCTTCTGTATGTAAATCTTTCGGTGGTACTCTTGGTAGATGCTGTTTGACACTTTCAGCAATAGCCCTAATTCAATCCGATGGATTTATAAATGAGAAAAAAATTAATTTTTACTTGATATGATCAAGTGTTGTACCATAACATCCACCAACAATATTAAGTAATCTATCATGAGCTCAATGATCTACTTGGAGAGCCATTTATTCAGGTGTTTCATCATATTCACCAAATGTATTCGGAAGACCTGAATGAATGATATATTAAATTAGTACAATCAGTAATCAACTGTCAAACACTAGTAACAAAAGCGCCAACTATATTATCAGGTAATATTCGGCTAGTCAAATCAACAATAATACTTGAAATCTAAATAAAAATGTGATGCTCAAAATTTAGAAATTAGAATTATGCAAAACTGAATTTTTTTAAAATTTAGTCTTACTATTCTTGAAGATTTCAAAGTGAAATATACTATAGTAATGATCAGCATATAAGACCGATGTACTTTTCATACTGTTTTGGGCATCGAAATTTCATAGATGGATTATGAAAGGAAGGTTTCTCGGAAATCAAACTCGATAGTTTTCAGGTTCTAGGATATTGTGTAAAAATTAGGTTTTAAGAGTAGCATCTTAAAGAGAACAAAATTTTGAATAAAATGAGGAGTTGTAACATTTCTAATAACCATTCATTAAAATTTTATAAGCATCATAAAGCGAAGTTTGTCATAGCACTTGAAAAAGACGTATTATTTTTTGATTTTTGTGATACTTATAACTTTTTACGGAAAAGCCGAGGAAATCTAGGAAACATTCGTCTCATTTAGACTCTTGTGCTTTTTAAGATGGGATCCTCTACAACTAATTTTCAAGTAGTCCAAAAACTATCATGTGTGTTGTTTCAGAAATCTTGTTCTCATAGTCCATCTAGCTTAATATCATAGAAATATATCAAAAATATATTGGTCTTTTGTTTTTGACCGATAAAAAACTGGTCTATCTGTGAAATGAATTTTACTCGACGTTCTGATCTATTCATCAATGATAAAAAAATTATTTAATATAGGAAGACAATGGGATTGAATCTTAAGCTTACAAGGGAACCATCTGAATGGATATCCACCGTTTGAGTGCATATTGGGTCTGCAAGAACCTGTTGATAACACTAGTAAAAGTTTGCAAGGACTCGTGCCTATTAAGTTTCACGTGGAACTTCTATTTTTTGATTTTTCGCTATATACCTATCAGTAAAATAATCATAACTAGACTCGACACGTTTATAGGCACGAATCTTTTAGACTTTCGCTAGTCTCCACAAATCATTCCTGGTAGATTCAATATAAGCTAAAATAGCGGATATCAGTTGGGGCGGTTCTACTGTAAACGATCTTCGTCTGGACTATGTTCTTATGTTTACACAAAAAAAAGGTTTATGAAGAAGTGAAAAACATGTCAAACTTGAAGAAATTCACAGATACAATATTGAAATAGAGTTTTCTAAATTACATAAATATATTTTTCTTACAAGAATTGGTCTAGTTAATTTAATATTTTTTTCAAATATAGATGCCTATGTATATTTTAGATAGAGCAATAAGAAGACTATTGTCTATCGAAGGGTGAGATTTCTTGCTAAAACTGAAATATGCTTGTCTGAATATAAAATTTATATTGGGCTTCTAGCTCCTTTGCATAAAGGTTGATCAACTTCTGATTGCTACTTCCGATCAGAGCACATCGCACTCTATTTGTGGCTAAAATGTGAGACCAAAATATTTAGGTTAAGATACTTTTTAACTGATAATGGACATTTACGAGGACTACTGCACAAGCACTTACCTGATATTAGCATATCACTGATACCTTCCATGAATAGACAGCAAAATAAGTATAGCAACTGTGAAGTGTTTTCTCGTTAGAAATAAATAAATAATATGCAGATNGATAAAGTTATTTATGCTTTCTGAAGAACTATAAATGTACATGTATGTCATTCAGGTGCATACATGACATTTTCTCTGTATAGAAATGTTACAAAGAAAATTCAACTATAGAGAAGCTAGTGGTAGAACTACAATGATAGATCCATCAACTAATTGCATGATCATGATAGGTATTAGCATTTTCTTAATACAAAGTTAACACTAATACCAAAGCATTAAGTTATTTTTTTAAGACTAATGCAAAAGTATTAACTGAGTTATTTAACTTTAATACATAAGTATTAGCGTTTTCTTAACACTAATGCTAAGACGACACCCCTAACATCCATTTTAGTGCCTGTTCGAGTTTTTTGTGCGTTTTGGCAAAAATATGTCTCGCTGTGGTTCAGGAATCATTTAGTCTTCCAAAGAATGAAATTCTGAACTTTAACTCAGAAAAGAAACTTCATTGTTTAAAGCAAAATCCCGATCTTTTGGTATATGAATTTAAATGAGAGAAGAATTGTATCTACATTTAGTCCGCACAGTGAGCAACCAACTGGAGATTGGGTGAAAGATCAAAGAATATCGTCCATTTGATTATCCTAATACAGATTGTATGCTTTCTAACGATCTTGCAATTTAGATATCTTGAGCCATTTCCGATACGTTATTACTGCGTTCGATAATTGTGAACAAAATCATGGTATAAAAAATAAATGTCAACAAATGCGTGATTTTACTCTTTATTGTCTTCCAACTTCTGTTCACTTACAATCTACAATGTTTGATGCTTTTGTTGCTAAATCTTCACAAGTTGATTATGGAGAACGAAAATAAAATTGAAGAACTTTGTCTCAAATATCAGTCTTCGTCTGTCATTAATTTCTATGTAAAAGGTATGTTTTTTTATCGAACACTCAATCATATTCTCTGACAACAGGAACTTCCTGAGATTTTCTTGTTTCGTCATGCAATGAACGATATTTCCAATTCGCTAGTTGGCCACTTTTACACGTATTCATGGCCAACAAGCGAATTGGAAATATCGTTCATTATCGATCTAATCAACTATTTATGTCGACCTTTACCGGTAGAAGAGGACAGTGTCTGTTTATTTCTCTACCGTGGTCAACAAAGGACAATATTTGAACTAGAAAAAATGAAAAACAATGTGAGAAAAATTATTAGTGCTGCTCCCTTTCTTATTACTACTATGAATCATTGAATTGTCCAAACTTTCGCGGGTAATGGATCTGACGATAATCCTTATTCAATTTCGATTATTTTGAAAATATATCTTGACACTGGCTACCTATGTGGTAGTATGCTCGTATTGATAATAGTGCTGAAGAAGTACTATTATCATCTGGCACCAAGTTTGTTCTTATGTCCTATCGAAAACTTCATGATAATGGTCGACTTCGGTTTTTAGAACTGAAAATCATCATAGAAAAAAAATAAGAACAACTTGCATTAAAGCATGGAGAAAATTTTTTTGCTTCTTAGTGAAGCATGCAGATGAACGACATTGGCCGAAACTGAGTTTGGCCATTCACTAACATTTCGTCAAATATGTTTATATTTGAAAATTTCATTTTCAAGAGAAATTTATTCCTTTTTTGTGTATTATAAAAAAAATTTGAAATAAACTTCACTTACTTTAATATGTTTAATTGATTCAATAAAACTCACTGCATATTTGATTATGTTCTTCCATTCCTGTTGCAGTTGTCAAAATATTCGGATCGAATATAATATCATTCGGATTAAATTTTACAACATTAACTAATAAATCATAACTTACACATAGTCCATTTTCGTTCAATATCTGTTGCCTTAAATAAATCAAATATTCTTCTATAAAAATATATAATATCCATTTTCTTACTTGTCCTTGTTCATCAAATGCTATAACAATAACAGCAGCTCCATAGTTTTTACATTTTCTTGCTTTATCAAGAAAATTTTGTTCACTTTCTTTTAATGATATTAAATTAACAATACATTTTCCTTGTGTACATTTAAGATCACCTTCGATAACAACAAAATTTGATAAATCAATACATAAAGGTACTCAGGCTATATAAGGTTCTGATGCAAGAATATTAGTAAATTTTGCCATTATTACTTGACCATTAATCATGCCTTCATCCCTATTTAAATCAAATATTTGTGCACCAGATTCAAGTTGTACTTTACCTGTTTGTAGAGTGATATCGAATTTATTTTCTTTTAATAAATGAAGAAATTGACAACTATCAGCAATATTACATCATTAACCAATACTAAAAAAATCTCTATAACGAAAACTACGAAATGGTTTAAGAACTTAAAATATCTTAAGTTGTTTTTTTTTTCTTCATATTAATTTTAAGATATATTATCATACCTGAAAGAAGCATTTCTTCTGTATGTAAATCTTTCGGTAGTTTTCTTAGTAGATATTGTTTAATACTTTCAACAATTGCTCTAATTTGATTCGATAGATTTATAAATGAAAAAAAAATTTAATTCTTTACTTGATATAATCAGGTATTGATGCATAACATCGACTAACAATATTGAGTAATTCATCATGAGCCCAATGACCTACTTGATGAGTCATGGATTCAGGTGTTTCATCATATTCACCAAATGTATTTGGTAGACCTAGAAATAAATTATTTATTAAATTAATACAATAAATAATCAATTGTTTTCTTTTTTTTATACTAGCATTTTGATAACAAATTGTATATGCACATGTATTATTAGAAACCTCTTCTAAAAATCGTCACATTTCTTTTAGACCCAAAGCACAATTTAACCCAAGACTATAAATATTCAAATAGAATAATTGATAGAAAAGAAAAACAAAAACTTACTAAATCGGATGAGCATGTGAAACACTAATTACAAAAGCATCAATGGTTTGACCAGATAATATTCGACCACTCATATCAACAATCGTACCAGGAATCTAAATAAAAAAAATTATGAAATTCAAAATTTAGAAATAGACGTTTTTTTTGGTTTTGCAATGCTTATAACATTATTTTGAAAAAAAGTCATAAGAAATATGGTAACCTCTCATTTAATAATTTATTTAATACAGAAATAGATCAATGTGCAATCCTAAGCTTACGAGAGAATTATTCGAACTGATATACATCATTTGGATTCATATTGTGTCTACAAGGACACCTTGGTGAGACTAGGAAAAATCTAAAAGGAATCGTGCTCATAGGTTTTTTTCAATGCAGCTTTAGATATTTACTAAAATGTCAAAAGAAATAAAATTTCGACGTGAAAATTAGCCCATATATAAGATAGGATCCTTAGGATATCTTCAAAGTTTCAGCGACAAAACAACTTTTGTCGAGGTATTGAATTTTCAAATGAACTCAATATTTCAACAAAAGAGCTTTCTTTTCGACCGAAGCTTATGAAAAACAAAAACACATAAATGACAAGAAATTTATATCTTTATTGATAGAACTTAACATTCTTGTATAATCTTTCATTTTATTATACAATAACCTACCATCATCAATTATATTTGGACAAAATTCTTTCTTAGAATCCATAGCAAAAAATGACTAAATAAAAAAAAACATTGACCGAAACGATGCTCATTTAAGAGCTCAATGACTAAAAAAAAATGACGCTGTTTATTCGTTAGGTCATTAATCTGAGCTTCGGGAAGAGAAAATCAAATTTCTTACATTAAAAAATTGAATAGAGTTTGTAATATCTGCTTTACTAATTGAAAATGGAAAAACAAGACATGTTAAATGATCAAGTAAATTTCGTCGTTGATTTTGTTCTTTTGCATTACCAAAAAAGAAATGACGTAAATCCTATAATAATAATCTTCTTCTTCTTCTTCTTCTTTTAAATATTCAAAATAATTATTTACTTTGCAATTTATTTCAATCCATATGCAGCACCATCACTTATATTACTTCTTGTTTGTTCACCAATTTTTTCTATCTGACTTATCATACCTAATGATACGTCAACAAGTAACATTAAACGCTATTTTGTTACAATTAATTCACCAAGATATGGTACCAATCGATTATTTGTACAATAAATTATATCTAAAAATTTACTTCTTTTTTCAATGAATAAAAACAAAATATATTGATTAATAATAACCTTCTCTTAATTTTACATCATCTTCTCCCGGAGGAAGTTTTATTGGTAATGATAATTCATATGTATGAGCAATAGTTGGTTGTTGTTCTGACGTTGCTGTAACATGTTGTCGATCGGATAAATATCCTCTTGTTGTACCCTTAAAAAAAACACATAGAATCATAAAAGTATTTTTTTTTTGTTTTTATTTAAATAAGAATATATTAGCAAAAGAAATTAGAGCTCATATAAAAATTAAAAGTAATCTATCAAGCATCTGAATAAATATCAAATATCTGGAATAATAATATTTAGGAGAACAAAAAAAAACATCTTACTGCTATAGCTGATGAAGTATTTGGATATGATGATAATGCAACATATTCATTTGATGATGACATCGATGAACCATCATCTCGTGCACCAAAACACATGTCATCGGCACCATGAGATGTTAGTTTTGAATGAATTAATGTAGCCATTGAACGGAGACAAATATCATCGTCACTGTTTGAACGTGTCATTTTTTCTCATCAAATTACGGGACATATCGCGATGATGATTTTTATTTTATACACAAATACAAAAAAAAACAAATAAAAATGAAAACCTAACCACGATCGTATTAAATATGAAGAACAATTGAAATGATAAAAAAACTTGTAAATAAACATATGTTGTGATTGATGGATGGAGGAATGATTGGAATACAAATAAACTAAACGAGAATTAACAAAAATAATTTTCAATTAAATATTTTTTGATATTTTTCAATGAAAAATATGAATTTTTTCATAAGAATTTATGAAACAAATTTTTTATATTATTAATCTGTCAAAAAATGTGGTTGCTTTATGAAGCACTTGTTTCGAAATACAATAAAATGTACGTGTGGAATAAAATATTACTCATCGACTAGGTGAATCAACTTGAAGTGAATGCTGATTAACCCTTTGAGGACAGAATTAATTACTAATTGGAAAATGTCTCTCTCGTCAATGTATTGTATTTCGCTCAAAATGATTACGTAAAAGCTTTATGAAAATGTACCAAGATCAGAGAGGAAGTGGTTATGATGTCGGTATATGAAGCAGAAACGAAATAGAAGATTTGAGGACTATCTATATAATAGGAAGAAACAAAGAAAAGATATGCATATGATAGCAGATGAAAGGTCCTGGTACTGTACAAGTTAGAATAGTCTAATGAGGAACAAACATTTTTCTTATTGAAATCATAGTTGGTACAACCCTTGTACCACCGGCCTCATAGGGTTAAGAAAAGTTCAAAAATTTCTTGAAGATCAAGATTTTCTCAATATAAGATGCAAAAGAATGGATCCACAGAAAAGAGAGCTATCGCATGTAATGCGGTCATAGAAAGCCTCTTCAACTAGCCATGTAAATTTAGCGACATCTATATAATTTTTAATCACTACATCCAAAATCCTTTTGCGCTTTGGTTGATTAGTAATTTTGAAATTACGATATATTAAACTCTTCTTCCCTGGTTTGTGTATATTTACTAAGTGTAGCTCAAAAATAAATGATGAACCTTAAACCAATCCAATACACCAGACCATGGATCATACTGTATATCATATAATAACCAATCGTACTTGATATATTAGAATTATTTACTATTTTATTCTTTTAGATAAGTAATACTTTTCGTGGTGGTGTTTAGTTGATGATTATTTCTATTGTCAATATTCTTCGTGATATGTATATTTTTTAATCTTGTGCAGTTTTACAATGTTCTTTTCTTCTAGAAATTTATATTTTTTTTCGTTCAATTAACAAATTCTTATTGTTCCAACAGTATAAAGCAAACCGAACATAACTGAGTAACACATCATATTCTACTTTCTTATTAATTTTCTTTTCTTTAGATTCATTGACATTTTATGTTATTATTTAATGTCAATATCTCTTGATACAAATTAAGTGTTGTTATTCTTATCATATGTTAATCTATTTTGCATTATGTTAAATATTTGATGGTATTGCAATTTGTTATGAAACACTAAATGTACTAAAATTGAATAAGAAGATATAATTTAACATTTTCAAGGGATCCATTTCTGAAAGGTTTTAACTGAGAAACAACATATGAGAGTTATAAAAAATAAAGTTTATAAAATAGTAGAAGATTTATCAAAGGGATGTAAGGGGAAAACAAGCGAACCGTTCACACAAACTAATTTTAAAGGTTCTTCTAATAAATTTCATCAACAAGAAAGCAGTCTATTTTGTTTGTTTCTTTTACTTCGTATATCTGTAACTGCTGCACATAGCCTTTAACCACATAGATGTTACAGATGAAGGCACAGCTTCCTCCATCATCCCAATCATTAGCCTACTAAAAAATTACTTATGATGCTAGTCGAAAAAGTGAAACAAAAATTAAATGATACAATAGTATAACTCCAAGTATACTTAGAGTTTTTTTTTTGTATTATTTTTCTATATTCAAGTGTTTTTTTTAATATTTATTAGACTTGTACGATGTCTGAAAAGTATTTACTAAAATAAATATGAAACTAATGAATTTATTTTTCATTTATTTTTGATATACTATTTTATAATTTATTTCTTTTCTGATAATATTAACATTGTCAGCATTACCTTGGTAGAAAAATAATTCATAAATATAATTTCTATTAATTCGCTTTTCAATCTTCACTTACAGACTTGTTTAGTATTAGCTTTTTCAGGTACTTCAGCTAATCTATGACTTGTTGGTTTTGGAATGGATACGCGTCAATATGAGCACTAATTACAAGGGAAAATATTTTAATAAGATCATTTATTATTTTCATAAAGATTTCTTCCGTTCAAACGAGTTGAAAATTAGAAAAAAAATTTTTAGATTTTCTTATAGTTTTTTTAAATGTTGGGTGAGAAAAAAATGAGATTTATAAAAATAATAAAACATCTTATTAAAATAATTTTCTTCAAGTCATAGATTAATTGAAGTGTCTAAGTGTCTAAAAAAGACAGTTGCTAGACGCTCGCTTAGATTGGAGTAAAAGATCCAATTAGGAAATTTTTAGACACGGACGTGTCTAAAATCGGTTATTCATTGACGCTTGAAGTGTCCAAATTGAACATATATCAACTAATCAGAAATAGTTCGAAGTGTCTTGTATAGATGGATGAATCGCCATATTTATACACTTGATGTGTCTTAATTCTTTAGAGTGAAGAAGAAAATAAATCAAAAGATGAGTTGAGCATCTATATAGAAATCGTAGTATATAACTTAATCATCATTTTGCTGATGGAATATTCCAGAAGACTTCCTACATTTTTTAGGCGCCTATTGTAATCCATTGCTGACATTACAGTATGTATTAGATATCTTCACATTCTACGTTTGATATGAACATAAGATCTAAATGACAATGTTGTTTCAATTAAATTGAAAAAACTGCACAAATTGTTTATTTATATCAGAATCTGTTGATCTTTATGATTTAAAGTATTTCCTAAAATTTTCGCCGTGTCTATCTAACACAGTTGCGTAATTTTCTTCGCCATAGTCTAGCTTCTTAATTCTGAAATTAACTTTGTAGTTTCATTTAAATCATTTAATGATAGATAGATGCGAAGTAAAACAAAATTCACACTTGGTTTTATTTGTGTAGTAGCATTTGAGAAAGTTGAGAAGTCAATAGTCTAATGGATGACATAAAAATAATAATCATTTCTATATTTTCAATATTTCTTTCTCTTAAGTCTATTAGATCAAACTTTTTTCGTTTTCACTCAAAGATTTCCTTTAAAAATCTGTAGAACAGTGTATTTGATTCATCACTTAGAATTCTTTTTTATACTTCAGTGCATATCAGAAATTTTTCGAAATCGAGTATATAATGTAAAATATCCTTTTTTCGAACATTTTCATAATCCATTTTGAGTAATTCACTCCTGTTATCTCGTCCAAGAACAGTGAACATGTATAGTTTAAAACAGTTTATTAAAGGAAGCTTCACTTATAAAATATTAATTCAAGTTATTATTTAGAACACTTTTCTGCTGAAGCGATAATAGAATTAGATAGTTAAAACAGGTAATGAAAATAATCAAAAAAGTAATATTTTATATCATGCACTCGATTTCATCTGACGTTTACTAGCCATGCCTGACAATGGTAATAACAAATATATATGAATGATATTGTTCTTTAGATGATTCAATATAGTTTTCATGCAAATATTAACATGATAAATACTGCGGAAACAGGATATGTTGAAAATAACAGATGTCATACTAAATAACACTCGTTAATTTCAGGCTTCAGGAAAATTCAAGTATTTTGAGATGAGTTTTTTGAGAGTATAGTCAAGATTGGAGTATTAGTTTTTTTACGTAAAATATTTGAGATAGCATCAAAGATATCTAGAGAATATATTGAACGAGATATGTAGCAAGGAATCAGATGAAATGGGAGAAGATAAAATAACTAGTGAGGCAGAGAAAAATATGATAAAGTGACATAAAAAAATGTCTTTACATCGACATAATTATAACGATATGAAATGGTCACAAAAAATGATGTGTATTGTCATCATTATTTTTTTATTTTTTAAAAACATTTTCACTGTTGAAAAAAAAATTTTAATTGATCACAAAGAAACCATTCTTTGGGCATTATTTGTGACCGTTTTGCACCATTTTTTTTGTTACGATTTGAAGGCATTTTAACGCCATTTTACCATTTTTATCCTTGACTGGGAGTTTCCATAAAATTCTGTTGCGCAAGAAACCTCTGATGTTTTTCTGATTATAGTAAAATCTTTTCTTTCGTTCGATTTTTTCACGAGTTTCAGAAAAAAAACCCGTAAACCAACTAAAAAAAAATTAATCTTTAAAGTTTTATTTTGAGGAAAAAACAAATAGTTCTTCACACTTAAACCTAAAAGTTTGATTATATATTTGTTTTTTCGTATGAAAACAAGCAAATTGAATTAAGTGTTAGATTTTATCGACTAAATTTCAAGACGAGAACCTTTACATCGGAATATCTGATTGAAAAGGGTTTTACTATGCATAAAGAGAGAGAGCACACACAATTATACTGGAAAACATGCCAAGATACATTTTCATGCTATTTTAGTTTCAGAAAAGGTGAAAGTTTTGTGAGTAAAGCTTTACAGTTTTCGTGTTTTATAGGGCTTTCAGAACACCTTATCCACTTCTCTCCTCTATTTCTACACTGTGAAAAAGTCACGATTAATGCATCCTTGTAGAGAATTCAACGACAAATATATTCGCAAAAAAATAAGTTCAATTACACGTACAGAAGTGGAGAAAAATTGAAAATACTTAGAGGTCAGTTCTTTATGAGCCATCCGTTAGTTTTGTTCGAATCATACTGATGTGTATGATGATGAAGATGAAAATGATCGTTTTGATTGATTTTTGATTATTATGGGTTTTGAAAAATAGTAAATCGTACCTTCTCAAGTTCATGTGATATTCTAACGTTACCCTATTGTGGGGTCAATCTATCTAAATGAATTGGGTATGAATTACTGCTTCCCTCATTCTCTATTTGGTTATTTGATGTTAATGCGTTTTTTACGCAGCAATAAGATATGAATTTTAAAAAATTTTTTAATATTACATGAAAACATGACTTTGTACACTATGGTACATTTTGCTTATGAAAAGCAAGCGTACATACAGTAAAACCTCCGTATAGTGGACACCTATGGAACTTTTTAAAAGTGTCCATTATAGGGAGGTGTCCACTATAGGGAGGTTAGGTCTTTTCCAAAAGCTAGGTTTTTTGAAGAGGGAGGTGTGTTTTCTAAGGAATTGAAAGGTGTTAGTGAATGAGATAATTGGCTAGCGCTCATTGTTACTTCTCTCCTCATACACTTTTGTTCTTGAAAAATAGAAAATTCAATAATTGTTAAAATATAGGAAAACTCTCTAGTTGACATTGTTTGAAACGTCTCAAAAGTGTTCAATATCGGATGGTGTCCACTATAGAGAGCCATCTACTATGGAAGGTTTTTACTGTATATACTTTGCTCATATAAAACAGAGTGTACTGTACATTTTATTTTAGATTTCCACTAGAACAGTGCTTGAAATGTCGGATGATTTTGTTTCAATTATGGTTAATCGTGATGCTGGTAGTGAACCAATCTTGATTCCTCGTTCGAAACTCAATACACATCTACCACTTTTGATCAAAGCAACAAAAGCAAATGTTTTATTAACACCAAATCGAATCATCAAATGCATAGATAAACAAACATATAAGTATTGTACAATTGCATCGTCTCTTTCTTCACCCGTGGTTTTTGCTCTCGATGAACTTAATGATACAGAAATCAACGCAAAAGAAAAAGAATTATTTGATCGACTCGAACAAGAAAATCAAAAAGCATTGGAGATTGCTAATCAATTATGTGAAGAAGAAGATAATCTTTCGATAAAACAAAAAACAAAACAAAAAAAGTTTGAAGAAAAACAAACAGATGTCGAACAATGTAAGTAAGATCGATCAGATACCATTCGAGATAGTATTCGATTTTCTTTGTCTTTCATGTGCAAATGAAATGAAATCTGAGAAACGATTAGTAGCATGAAGATCAAGCATAAGGTTAATGGACACGTTGTGACGAGAAAAAGTCAATGCTATATACGTATCAATTCTGTTCGTATTTTTCCACGAAGAATATCTGCGCCTTGTGAATACAGTAGGTTCGAAGATAGAAGAGTCATTAAAAGAGATAACTAGAAAAGCAATGCTAAATATACAATTGAGAACTAGATTTCAGTGCTGCCAATAGTTAATGATTCGAAATATATGTGTCAGGCAAAGTTAAATAGAGCTTTTCATAGACCAAAAAATTAAAGAAAAACCGAGGAAGAGGAGAATAACTCACTAGTCTTATGTAGTTATTTTAAGTAAATTTGAACCACAATTTCAGTAAAAACTAAAGTCAATTTAGGAGAATATAGAGTTCGTCACTCTTTTCAATGCCAATCGTCTTGATTATATAAGAAGATGTAGAGTTCGCCACTATTCTCTATTAAAATTTAATTGATTTTACGAACTTTTAGAATTCATCAATATATTCTATTGAAATCTGGATGAGTTTTGAAAAACGAAAAATTTGAAATATTAAATAATACATGTTGTTTAAATAGAAATCAATTTTAGTCGTTCAACAAAATTATTGATATTGTTTTTATTCTTTTAATAATTTGTTGTCGTAAAGTTTTTTATATCACCCAATTTTTCGATCCTGATCTTTAGTAACAAGATTTGTTTATTCACAGAAACCTCAATAATTTGCACTATGTTATTATTTTGTTTTCTTATGATTCAATATAAAATACTACTATAAAAAACAATTATAAATATTAATCTCTTGCAAAGTCATTATATACCACCATTACCTAGCGTTATGAAATTTTATTTTTTTTACATTGTGACATCTATATCTCCTCAATAATAAAAGCAAACTCTGTGAAACTTTTATCGTGCACAGGCTTTTTAGATCTAAATACTATTAGTAAAAACTTCACTCACTCTTTTGTGATCAATGCTAAGATATTCCAAAGATATCAATCGTTGTTCAATTTCAACAAATAGATACTTTTTTGAGAACCACCTGCTAGTTTAGGATTTTACTATGAAACGAGGAGATCTTTAAATGAACGTCTTGCATAAATGTTAATGCGTTTTCCACAAGCTTTCAGAATATTAGCCCATTTCTTAAAAAACAGAAGTGTATCATATAAAAAAACCTAAAATACGACTTGTTACGGAAATTCATCTTTTTCTGACGGTTCGGTGGGAAAGATTGAAGAATTCAAAAAAATCATATTATTATTGCACAAAATCATTTTTTTCTAATCCTTCAAACATATAGAAGAAGCTTTTATCTTTCAAATAATTCACCTTTTTTGTCTTAAGCAAATCATATTAAAACTTTTATTCATCTTTAAAGAAAAATGTATCTGTAATAAAGTACAAAGTTATACTTTTTCTGAAATTGGTCAATCGATCTCATTTTGAGATGCATACTGGAAGGAAAATGGAGCTTATGCCACTTCTCACTTAAGTATTTCAGAGCTTACAACATGTTTGATAATGTATTGTTAGTGTAGTTTCGAACGTAGCAATAGTTTTCTTATTTTTGTGAGTTTGAACCTTCCTCATGCAAGAGTTAACGATCGCCAGTTATACTCACATGATCAGTGTAAGAATAGCGGACAGCGTGTAATGAATTATATAGATGATTCAATAATAAATTAGTAGTATGCCTGAAAACAAGTTGTTACAGATTGAGAGGTCTCTTATTGAGAAATCGTACAATATCGACGTCAAAACCATGATCATTGACAAAAAATTGTTATCCTGGTCACGTTCGCAGAAAACGCCTACTCGACTAAAACAAAATAACAAAAAAGAAGAAGGATCAAAGTTATGTTTATTTCAATCCTTTTTCACATTTATGTTCATATACTTTAAGGGTAACGTTCTGTTTATTCCATATGTTTAGAATTTTCATGTAAAAGATAGATGTTCCAATGTTCGATGACGAATTTATTACCAATATCAATAATATTGTACTACTAAGGCCTGACCGCCACAGTGTCGTATAAATAAAAAAATATTGATGATATTGGCTGTTATAATATTTGTTTTTTTTTTCGACATGACAGAGAAAATTTTATACTGATGTTTAAAAGACATCTGTTATATTTCTTATAATTCATCGATAAACTGTCTAGACATTAATCGCAACATGCATAATCGTTCTCACTATGAATACGCTTATGAAAATTGTACATCTCTTCATATACTAGTTCCGTTGTAATAGGTAGTTAGTGAATCACATAATAAAAATTTGAAACTAGCATTTTTATACTACATATGATGTACGACACTAAGATGTAAAACGAGAATAGAAATCTGATGAACATTTATTTGTAAGACAATGAAGAAATTTTTGATACAGTGTTTGCGTGATCACTACGTTTTCTGGAAATGTTCTCTTTAAAGATTTAAGATATTCCCTTTCTTGTTCATAAAACTCTTTTCGAGATTCAACGTCTGTTGTTGACGAAGAAGCCATCGTTTTACTTATCATAAGATGATGTATATGACAATAGACGTTCTTCTGTTCTGGGTAAAATTCATTTAATTGAGTAGTAGCATATTTTTTCTCTATTGATTGTGAAAATAACAATAGGTAAAAAAAGAATTCGCTATTTCGCGCATGACTATTTCTAATTCTGTCTAAGTTTAATTTTACCTAAAATTTAATTTTGCAGATGACATATATTTCAGTTTCGTGTCCAGGAAGGATATGAATCTCGATATTCTAATTCTACCCTTGAGTAAAACTGCAGACCCTATTTCAGGTATCATCAATGCATTAGTTCACTGTTTTATTATGTTACATCTGTAATTAGTGCAAGTTATCGTTTTTTGTTATGTAGAGATTCAATACTTTTTCACAGACTAGACTAAATCTATAGAATGGAACGAGTGAATCTATGTTAGTTTGTCTTTTTCTTTGCTAGTCATTGTCATCATATGTTCAATACATGCTATCAGAGTAGATCTATTCGACGAATAACAGATCATTTCTAATCTTGCTTTTCTTTCATTTATTGCTAGATCACGACCACACCAGAACTTAGGCGATCAAAAGTGAACATAATTTCGTCTCCTTCACTTACAACAACGAATGAAGGTGACCAAGAGAACGTCCCAATCTGGTGTGATTCCAAGGGTGTGGGTGTGGGTGGGGGTGTGGGGGGTGGTGGGTGTGGGTGTGGGTGTGGGTGTGTGGGTGTGGGTGTGTGTGGGTGCGGGGTGTGGGTGTGAGTGTGGGTGTGGGTGTAGAACGAAAAGATCACACCCACACCCACACTCACTCACACCCACACCCACACCCACACCCACACCCACACCCTATGATTGATTTTTCTTCAGATTGATGTTAATGATGAATATTTTGAACACATCAACATGTTCATCCTCAGCAAGTTAATCATAAACTTGAAATTTTTCTNCTCTCCATGATTTCATTTAGAAGGCGAAATTCCGTCACAAAAAGTACTCAAATCACCGAGGTCTTTCTTTTGGTATAATATAGTTGGGGTTTCAAATCAAAAATTTTTATATGATCGATTTGCCTAGCAACCGACCCCCGTCCTATTGACTATGTAAAAATAATCCCGGACTCAAAGGGTTAATTGTTTACGTCGGCCTTTATTAGCAAAAGAAGACAGTGTTTCTTTAGTTCTTTATCGTGATCAAGAAATGAATTATATTCGAACTAGAAAATATGAAACACAATGTGGGAGAAACTTTCAGTGCTATTTCGTTTCTCTCTACTCTTCCGTGAATCCTCAAGTCGCTTAAATCTTTGTGGGCGATGGATCCGACGATAATCCTTACATTGTTTCTATCATTTCTAAATTTATCTTGACATTGATCAACCAATATGGTCATATGCTCTTATTCATAACAGTGCTGAAGAAGAAGTACTATTATCAGCTGGCATCAAGTTTGTTCTTATGTTCTGTCGACAACTTCACGATAATAGTCAATTTTGGCTCTTAGAACTGAAAGCCATAACAGAAGAATAACTTGTATTATTTTATGGAGAAACGTTTTTACTTCTAAGTGAAGTACATGAATTGCTGAATCGATCGTGATTGTTCATATTTAAATCACCCGATGATACCCTGGAGCAAGGTTGAAACTGAGTTCGACAAATTACTAACATTTCATCAGATATGTTTATATTTTAAAATTTCATTTTCAGTGAAAAAACTTTTGTTTTTTGAGTTATGAACAAATTCTAAAATAAACTTCACTTACTTTAATACGTTTAATTGATTCAATAAAATTTATTGCATAATTATTATGTTCTTCCATTCCTGTTGCAATTGTTAAAATATTCGAATCGAATATAATATCATTTGGATTAAATTTTACAATATTAACTAATAAATCATAACTTCTTTTACATATAGCACATTTTCTTTCAATATCTGTTGCCTTAAATAAATCAAATATTCTTCTTTATAAATATATAATATTCATATATATATATTTTTTTTTTACTTGTCCTTGTTCATCAAATGCCATAACAACAACAGCAGCTCCATATTTTTTACATTTTCTTGCTTTATCAAGAAAATCTTGTTCACCTTCTTTTAATGATATTGAATTAACAATACATTTGCCTTGTGTACATTTAAGACCAGCTTCAATAACAGCAAAATTTGATGAATCAATACATAAAGGTACACGAGCTATATCAGGTTCTGATCCAAGAAGATTAATAAATTTTGCCATTATTATTTGACCATCAATCATGCCTTCATCCATATTTAAATCAAGTATTTGTGCACCAGATTCAACTTGTACTTTAGCAACTTGAAGAGCAGCATCAAGTTTATTTTCTTTTAATAAACGAAGAAATTGACGACTACCAGCAACATTACATCGTTCACCAATATTAACAAAATTTGTATAACGAGAAATACGAAATGGTTCAAGACCTTAAGATATTTTTGAATTTTGTTCATATTAATTTTAATAAATATAATCATACCTGAAAGAAGCATTTCTTCTTTATGTAAATCTTTTGGTGGTACTCTTGGTGGATATCGTTTAACACTTTCAGCAATCGCTCTAATATAATTCGATAGATTTATAAATGAGAAAAGAAAGTTAATTTTTACTTGATATGATCAGGTGTTGAACCACAACATCCACCCACAATATTAAGTAATCCATCATGAGCCCAATGACCTATGTGTTGAGCCATTGATTCAGGTGTTTCATCATATTCGCCAAATGTATTTGGTAGACCTTAATGAATTATTTACTAAATTCATACAATAAGTAATCAAATGTATTTTTTTTTACCAGCATTTGGATAACAAATTGTGTATGCACCTGTGTTATTAGAAACCTCTTCTAAAAATCGTCTCATTTCTTTTGGACCCAAAGCACAATTTAAACCAAGACTATTAATATTTAAAGGGAATAATAAATTTTCAAAATGATAGAAAAGAAAACAAAAATAAAGATTACCAAATCGGATCAGCATGTGAAACACTAACAACAAAAGCATCAACTGTTTGACCAGATAATGTTCGACCACTCATATCCACAATGGTACCCGAAATCTAAATAAAAATATGATGTTCAAAATTTAGACATTAGAATAATGCTAAATTACATATTTTTTTTTTAATCTTCTCTTATAATTTCAAAGTAAAATACTACAATATTGATCAAAAATATAAGATCAATATATATTGTCGCATTTCCTACGACCTTCCCTTAGACAGTTATAAGCGTCACAAAGCTTCATTGATTAATTATTCCTATGAGAGAACCTTCTAAATGGATACCCACCGTTTGAATTTATATTGTATCTACAAAAATACGTTGATGAGAATATTCTACAGGTCAAACATCAGTTCAAGTGATTAATGACTTTCGTCTGAATTGTGTGCTTATGTTTAAACCCCCCCAAAAAAAAAGACTTATGACGAATTGAGAAAAATTCATAGACATAATATTGAAATAAAATCTTCTCGATTACATAAATATATTTTTCTTACAAGAATTGGTCTAGTGAATTCAATATTTGTTTCAAATAAAGTTTTTAATGCAAATATAGCTGCTTTTGCATTTGCTGTATCAAATATAGTTTCAATTAATAATAAATCAACATTGCCATCAACTAAACCACGTGCTTGTTCAGTATATGCTTCAACAATAGCATCGAAAGCTAATAAATAATAAATATTTATATTAACAAAAAAAAGAATTAACTAAACATCAAACAGACTTATATTTCGAAAATCCGGTTTGTCTACTGATGGAGAAATTGACAAAGTTTTATTTGTTGGACCTAAAGCACCAGCAACAAATCGTCGAATACCTAAAAGAAAATAAAAAGAAAATATGTGTCTATCAAGATAAATATATTTTAATTAACCAGTTTTTTTTGTATATTCATCTGCTGCTTGTCTTGCTAATTGAGCTGATTTTAAATTTAATTGATATGATAAATGTTCTAAACCATAATCAGCTTGTGATATACATTGTGCATTAAATGTATTTGTTTCAATAATATCAGCTCCCGCTTCTAAATATTTTTCATGTATTTCTAAAATAACATCCGGACGAGTTATGGATAATAAATCATTATTTCCTTTAAGAGGATGTTTATGAGTATTTAATTCATATTCATTACAACGAAAATCAGATTCTTCTAATTTATATCGTTGAATCATTGTACCCATAGCTCCATCAATAATAAGAATACGATTTGATAGAGCAAGAATAAGATCATTTTCTATCGAAAACAAAAAGAACTAGAATTGTTTTTAAAATTAAAGATAATAGAAATCTTTACCGATTTTTGAATGAATGATTGATGGTGGTGGTGGTGGTGGTGTCATCGTTAAAAATCTAAAAGAAAATTTACCTAAATTGAAAAATATTGTTAGAAATTTAAAGAAGAATATGTACTTAAAATCAAAGATGCAGCTGTATGAACTAAAAGATTAAATATTTTCATTTTATCAGAAACACCTGACCTATTTCACATTTCGTTTTTTTTAAATGGTTTTATCGAATTAACCAATAAAAACGAATAGGATGTCGCTGTACTCCATTTCGATGATCGAAAGTCTGTCTATTCCTAACAAAATTTGTTTTTATCGATCGATTTGTAATTTAACCTTTAGATTGCGATGAAAGTCCATGAAGCTCATTTAAATAGATAACTCATCAATCTTTCCTATATGTTTATGATCATTTAACTAATAAGGGAACCTATCCAAGTTTCAAAGCACTTTTCACTCGAGACAACGTTTATTTGATGCGTACTAATCGGTAATAGATATATCTAGAATGGTTTGGTTTTCTAGACCTACATTACTGAGATTTCGAAACTTTATAGGATTTTTCAATAACAAGCTCTGAGTCTACTTTTAAATTGTCTATTCTGAGATATTCAATATTTGTAATTCTCTCTGATGTGTAAAGAAAAAATATTGTTCATACATTTATATCGTCAGAAAGAAAATACTAGAAAAGTTAAAACTTGCACAATCAACTAATCTTCTTTTGAAGCTGAAATTCGAAAGTCGATTGTATACCAAAAGTAGTAACGATGATATAAGAATATCTTAAAGAAAGTTCTAGAAGAATTTATCTCGAGATATGTATTGATAATACAACGAGTGTCCTATATACTTTCATCGTTCTTCGACATTCAGAACTGTTGAAAGTTGATCTAAATATTTTTACACAGGTTAAGAAAAGCTTCAAAACCAAGCACTATCTGAAATATACGGAAAAGTTGTACTTAATCAACATTTTTGATCTAAAAATATAGATGTATTCTTTAATGAATTTTTCTTAAAAATTATAAGTTGTTTTGATAGTCATCGAATTCTAGCATGTTCTTTGTTATATATGTTCAATAAACAGAAAGTAGATAGTTGAAGTTCTGCAAATTATTGTTCGATATGTTCTATTCATTATGTATTTAATTGGTTTTATATATGTCAAAAGGAAAGTTTAATCATTATAGTTTGCTGTTGCAGAATGATCATCGAGTTTTTTGAAGAGTCGAAAAAGATCTATTCTTCAAGAATATTGACTAAGATTCAAGAAAAATCTAGAATAAAAATAAGAGATTTGTTCTTGTCACATATCTATTAATATAAAAATAAATTTTATAATTAAAATTATTTTGTAAAATTAACATCATCCTCTATAGTTTACCAACGTTATGTAAAGGATTTTTGCTGACCAATCACTGTTGGATTAACTACATGAATAGGTGTACCAACTACATACGCCAAAATTTGATCAAAGATATCAGCAAATTGAAGTTCATACTCATCAACTGATACGTATCCAATATGAGGTGTACAAATAACATTGTTCATCGTTAGAAGAGGATTGTTGATGTCGAGCATCGGCTCATTTTCATAGACGTCTACAGCTGCCATACCAGGTCGACCAGCACGTAATGCATTGACCAATGCATCTGGCTCAATTAGCGCCGCTCGACTCGTATTGACTATAAGAGCAGTTGGCTTCATACAGGCGAGATCTTCAGCAGTAACAATACCACGTGTTACTTCAACTAAACGCATATGAAGTGAAAGGATATCACACAGTTCGAAAAATTCTTTTTTGCTTCTCGCTGTTGCATAACCATCAGCACGAGCACGAGCAAGAGATACTTCACGTGCCCAAACAAGTATGTTCATACCAAATGCTGTTCCATATTTAGCAATAGTACTACCAATTCTACCATAACCATAGATGCCAAGTGTTTTTCCACGTAATGTAGCTCCAACGCCAATTTGCCACTTGCCAGCTTTAAGTGCAGCCATTTGTTGAGGAATTTGACGTATTGCTGCAAGTATAAGTGCCCAAGTTAGTTCAGCAGCAGCATACGATGGACTATCAACATGTTGATTAGATGAGACAATAATACCTAAACGAGTACAAGCATTGATATCGATATGAGGATAGACACTACGTTGACTAATCAGTTTTAAACGAGGTAATCGTTCTAGAACCTCACCACGAATCTGTGTGCGTTCACGAATTAATACTAGCACATCTGTTTCTTTAAGTCGGTCAACTAGTGCATCTGTGTCTTGCACGTGATCATTCCATATAGTGACATTATGATCATTTAGCTTACTGTAACATGGAAGTGTACGAATAGTATCGAAATAATCATCGAGTATGGTAATATTCATTATTTTAAACTTTTTCTAAAGAAAACATTCAAATAAAAGAAAGTGTAAGTTTAAAACTTTAAAGTATCATCAAAAATCGAATCTCATGATTATGGACCAATAAAATATCGTTTTTTTTAATTTTTTATATAAGAAAAAAAATATTCGTTAAAGAATAGAAAAGATTGGCGAACAACAACAAAAATAACTATGGTAAATGGTATAGCCTATGTTGATAATGTGACGGCGATGTTCGAGTATCTTTATTTCTTACTTTCATTCCAAATCGTCCATCTCATAAAGCATACAACAAGCAACTCACTGAAGATAAAAAGAAACACAGATAAGAAAGAAAAAAAACATTAAAACATAAGCGTTCTATACCTATATCATGTTATCGTCTCCTGAGTCTCATAGTTAAAATAATATATATCATTTGATACCTTCAGAATGGAAATAAATTGATTGTTTTACTATCCTTTATTATTGATATCAAATAACAAGAGTAACTCAAATATTGTGAAAGAGTTTTTCTGCTTTTTCAAAAAGACGTATCTTTTCAACATACAGATTTTACTTCAGATTACTATCAAAATTGCTTTTTTTTATGCTTATCAAAACTCTAACTATTTGCATGTCTTTTCTTTTGCACTAATCCATATAGTGAACAACGATATATATATTGAGTATCAAAAATATTTAAGATACATCGTTGTCGTATTTTGTTATTTAGATATTTGTTTGGAACAAGCATAATGAAAGACGAGGAACAATTTAAAAAAAAATTAATATTTCGACGTTTGAAATTATTTCTTGACAATGCACGGCATCGATATTTCATAAGATTAATTTTGCTCCTATTTAAATACTAAATTTGAAAGACAATGTTTGACAATCTTCTACACGAACACGAGCAACAATACTCTTAAACTGTATTATTTCGATCTACAGGCTGGTACCGAACTTATTCGCTTAATATTCGCTGCTACCAGCCGTACGTGGAATGATATTAGTTTCGAAGTCATTCAATAGTTTGGTGGTGTCCTTAAATATGTCAGTCAATTGATGACTCTTAAGAAAACTTACGGAGTATGAATGTAAAATATTTCGTTGACAAAAATTTATCATAAGCTGATCTCTTTGTCTATCTATCAATCGAAAGGATAATCAAAGCTAGGGAAGTTACTGTTACCTGACAGTTACGTTACCTGGTAACTGATCTTAATAAAAGTTCAGATCGAGAATCCTAGAGAACACAATAGTTACTATCAGCATTGAAATGAGCTACAAGTGAAAGACTACTTTTGCACAACTCGTTTTCAGCTTTGTTATTCTTGGAAAAAATAGTGAGATGACCATATTGAGATAGAAAAGAATATGAATGGTAATTGTTGTTACAATATACAATCTAGGATGGAGCTCAAAAGTAATAGCCACTAGCTTTTTACAATGCTCTACTTTCAACAACAATAAATCAGAATTCCTTTTTTTTTTTACTTCTAGACTAAGCACTCAATAATATGGTGCACAATTTCAACAATTTTTTCTCACTCCTTTCAAGTTGATAAGCGCCAAGCATACCATTTTCATGAACCCAATCAAAATACTCAAAAGTGATTAAACAACTCGTTCTCATGAGTCATGACTAGCTCTCAATTGCTTTGATGTCCGAACTGTTAGACGACAAGGCATTTGTTTCGAGTATTTTGCGTTCCAAAAATTACTTAATGATTCCGGTTCTATATTTGAGGTGGTTCTCTTGTCGGAACCGCCATCTTCATACGAACTACTGTCTCGCTCGATGAAATATTCTTAAACTAGTTGAACTTAGTCCAGACCATTAGTCGTACTTCAACATGAATAACAAGCGATTCACTTTTTGATGCTCATAGTATTCCACATCATGATCTAAAGTGAGTTCTTCGAAATTGAGTATGTGACTAGTGGGTAAGTGTGAGGATGAAAGTGCATTTGAGGATTAAGTGACTCACACTCACACCCCTTACAGATATATCTATAGGTGTGTCGTAAGCACTTTTGCAATCATACAACAATTTTATCCCAACACATATATTATACAGCAAAACAAACTATATGTATAGAGCTGATGAGTCATAAATATGAAGTGAAGAGTTCATAAATGACGCCTTTGTTCTAGTAGGACAGCCTTCATATTGACAAAATCTTTTTTTTTGTTTTCCATCCAACTAAGTGCATAATAAATTTTCAGTTAGTTTACAGTTTATTCGATTCTTTTTATTGTTGCAATAGCAATAACTCAAAAAGAAAAATGAAACATTTGGACCAATATGAAAACATGCAACACTCGACAAACATAATTGAATGATGAAATTTTATTGGATGATGATTGGTTCTAAATAGAATAAGATTTTCATGCATGTGTGATCGTTAAAAAAATCCTATATTGCCTATTATTAAAAATTTCAGTGGTCCATTCACCCAATCTTCAGTAACATACAATATTCTTATTTTCAAGAACAATGTATCTCATTGGAACTTTTTAGTTTGGAATCTTTGAAAATACCCTGTGTAAATGAAATCGCCACTTTGAACTTAATAAGAATGTGAACAATGTTGCTGTACACATTTATTAAATAATTCATAAATTAATAAATCAGTTTGTTGAATTTGATTATTATTATTTTCTAATCCATATAAATACATTTCTAATTGTTTATGTTTAGCTTGTGGAATTTTTTCATCTTGTTCATAATTGTGATAAGCTAATGGTTGTGCATGTAGAAAATCAATAATTTTTAATGATTGAATTTTAGTTTCCCTTTTTTTTAATTCTTTTGCAACACTTATTGATAATAAACTTGATAATGTTGATGTTGATGATTGAATTTGATGACGTTTTAAATGTACATCACAATATATTTCATTTCAATATATTGATTTTATTAATGGATTTTGACATAAATCAAGACGATGACGTGTTTCATTTAATTTTGTTAAAGCTAATTTAAAATTACGTTATCGTAATGCATAATATGACATATAAAGTAATGATTGAACTTTATAATCAATTAATAATGGATCAAATTCAGTTGCTTTTAAACGACTTGTAAATGTCATTCGTGATCCACCAATTANAAAAAGTATGACCTTTTTACACTGTTTACATAAAATATTTGTTTATGTGTGAAGCATATTATTGCATGTTGGAAAAAAGTATTTAATTAAGAATTTTGTTTGTTTGTAGTCGAATGTCGCTTGAATCCATTCGTTTATGGTTTCGTTTATTTATTGTAAATGATCTTGCTACTATAATTTTTTTATTTTTATGGTTAGTAATAAATATTTCTCTATTTATTGGACAATTATTAAATTATCATCATTCACGATCATATTTTTATTTACGTTCATTAATATCTGATGGTTTAAGTGTTGCAAGAGCAGCAGCATTATGTTTAAATTTTAATTGTCTTTTAATTCTTTTACCTGTTTGTCGAAATTTACTTTCATTAATACGATATATTTTACCACAATGTATAACACAATCACGTTTTCGTCGTTTTACAAAACGTCTTTTTGATCAACATATTGGTTTTCATCGTTGTGTTGGTTATGCAATTTGTTTTTGGTCAATATTACATGTTGGAGCACATGTTTATAATTATGAACGTTTAATTGATGTTCATAATGAATATCAAACATTTCCATCAGTACTTAATTTACTTTATATTCAATCATCTGAATCTCAAGTAAATCCATTTGATAGAGTTAATTCGAATTCATTAAATGTAGGATCAATGTTAAGTACAACAGCAGGAATTACAGGAGTTATATTATGTATTTGCTTAATGATTATATTTAGTTCATCAACATCACTTATTCGTCGATCATTTTATGAAATATTTTGGTTTGCTCATCATCTTTTTATTATATTTTTTATTTGTTTAATTCTTCATGGTTTTCAAGGTATAGTTAAATCTCAAATAAATCTAAATGAACATAATCCCGAAATATGTGCATCATTTTATCGTGAATGGGGTATTAATCAACAATGTCTTATTTATCCTCGTTTTACTGGTTCACCAGCAACAAGTTGGATGTGGTTATGTGCTCCACTTAGTCTTTATATTCTTGAACGTCTTCTTCGTTTTATACGTAGTTTACAACGTGTTGAAATACTTGATATTATTCGACATGAATCAAATGTTATTGAAATACGTTTTCGTAAAAAATTTATGAATACACCACAACCTGGTCAATATATTTATTTAAAATGTTTTTCTATTTCAATATTTGAATGGCATCCATTTACAGTTACATCAGCTGCTGAAGAAAATTATGTTAGTGTTCATATAAGAACAGTAGGAAATTGGACAAATAATTTATCAGAAAAATTTCAAATGTATCCACAAGATATACCAAGACTTGCAGTTGATGGACCATACGGAAGTGCAGCTGATGATACTTTTAATTATGATGGTGTTATACTTATTGGTGCTGGAATTGGAGGTAAGAAAAAGNACTAACAAATATCAGTTATATGAGCATCCTGATCTTGTCTGACGTACGCCTACGGTCCGCATCGTATTGAAGGAGCAGTCAATCAGTATATAGAAACATTTTATTAAATTTGTGAAGTATGATCATAAATCGCAGAAAGTAGAGGGATACCAAATATATGTGCATTTCTCGATTATGAAATGATCAGCTTCATTTTTAATAAGACTCAGTTGAACTTGAGCAGCTTTATCTGTAGTACATTGTGACCGGTGCTTACGGTGCTCGTATACCGGTGGAACGGTGAACGGTGCACCGCTACTACGGTGACCGGTTGGTACGGTGCACCGGTGGACCGGTGGCACCGGTCCTACGGTGAACCGGCGGACCGGTGAGACCGGTGAATGGTGAACCGTAGACCGATCACACCGGTGACCACCGTCACCGTTGCATCCCTAGTTTGAATATATCATGAGTAAAAAAGGGTATGTTTATTCAATAAGCATGTATAACTTAATTTACGTACAAATACATGTGAGAATATGGAAGGCAAAAACTATTAATTGTTATTGGTGATTATGATATTGAATTCAAAGAATATTATTATCTAAATACCGAAAGTTTGGAATTAGACTGAATTCATTACATGACAGCGCCGATTGCAAAAATTTACTGTGATAGTCAATGCATAGAAATATTAAGAGAGTGAGTTTCAGAGAAAATGTGATATCTTTCAAACACTCGTCATGAGATGGAACCTCAGAATGGGTTGATCTTTAAATGTAGTGTAGGGTCTCGATCGTCTAGTATTACTTTTTTAGTAATTTCTTCATAGTACTTTAGCGTTAAACTCAGAGTGAGACTTTGATTATCTCAACTTTCTTTTACCGCTGTTACATGTTTTTTTATTGTTTTTTCTTTTGTAAGAATATATACCCATATAAAGTAGTTACTGTTTGCCAATAACGCTTTACTTAATCGTTCTTATTCACTTCTTTTTCTTTAAAAATAGGCACTTATGAGTAAAAAAAGAGTGCTGAATCACGGTGACGCGAGGCACGTAGAAATTTATTGAAATAGTCAGAAAGGCGATGATGAATGTTTATAAATAGTGTTACGTACGTATTAACACCGGATCTTTAGTAGGACTATTGATAAATAATATAAAACTTGCAGAGACATACGAAGGAGTAGAAAAAGACGTAGATGATATCATCAAAATGGAAGTATAGCATAAGTGAATAAACTTGTATTCAATGAGGCAAATTTTCACATTAAATCCGTTGTTATGTATATTAGATAAATAAGTTTCAAAATTTGAGAAATTGATATCTCAGTTTTATTTCACACACATTATTGTTCAGCCTTTTCATAAACTTAGTTGGATATTCTGTTCATGTTTTCATATCACTGGTTAATATATACTTTCCTCGTGCAAACATTCACATATAATGATACAAATACATACTAAACTGTATGGTTTTTGTTCAGAAATTGATAGTCTCTATGAAATTTTTAAGAAATGTTTTAGTTTTGGCTCAATGTTATATGATTTACTGCCGAGAAATTCATCTAGCAAACGAAACTTTAGATTGAAAAATTTGTATTTCTTGAAATGAGACACTGTCATGATTTGTGAAGTACTGCATTCTAATAATACAACGTTTTCAAACTGTGTAGTGTAAAATGAAGAAAAAATTGTTAGACATTATGGTTGAAATCACATCTTAAAATAGAACCTATGTATTTCATGAACAGTGTATTAGAAACAAAGCAGTGATGCTTCATTTGAAAGTTCATATAATATTGGGCCCAAACTAAAATGTTTCTTAAAAACTCTAGAGAACCTATCTTTTCAAACTGCTTTCGACTGAAACCTAACTGACTGTATTCTGCATTAAACGCTATCTCAGCACTTTTTTCTTCGACTGGAAGAAACATATAATTGAAATAATAACTCAAATAACTATTTTAAAATATTTTCTCATCATAATTTGAAAGACATGCGTATGAACATGGATATACAATACTATTTATATTCATGATTTGGTGACGACACGAATTGCTTTCATCACTTTCTGTCTTCTCATATAAATTACAAAGAGTCGCCTGTGCCGTAACATAAGTTAAGTCCTGATGACACTATTCAGTTATGTAAAGTAGAGTGATTCAGTCTTTGCAAATGTTGTGGTTTGTTCAGCGTCATACTTTGAGAGTGTATGTTTGATTTCATCTATCACTACAATGACAAACATGTTTATAAAAAGGAAAAATCTCCTCAATTTTCTTTCTTAAAAACATATACAGTTGATATACTTGTAAATCAGTACCAATCGAAATTAGTTATTCTAGGTTGGAAGCAGTAACAAGTGACAGTGGTAATTGCTAAGAAGACATTGTCAAGTTCAATGCTCATGTTACCCTACATTTGGTTTCTTTTGATAATCTCTTGTCGAGTTTCGTTGTGTTTGTATGATATAAAGACTTTAGCCGCGGGAGTGAAAATATCGGCGAATGAATACATGGTTGTCTCCGTATCAAACACTTTTTCGAATTTTGCAATCGTCATAAACCCATTCAGCGTCGCCGATACTAATGGCTCGACTAAATGTAACATGCGTTATAACACTACCGATTGGTATGTTTACAGTGTAGCTGTAGTTGGTGTGATAAATCAGAGTCTCGATTCAGATTCATTCGTCTTTGTTTTTGCCGCTGAAATAATATCGACAGTGATACCGTTTGCGTGTATTGGAACTATTTCAAAATTAACTTGTAACTACACATATCAGTGCACAAATCTGGGCTCGTCTGGATCTCATCAGGAATATTTTCTAATCGGTTCAGATACGCGTCGCAATTTTGCGTATGGATTTACAAGTTCTTTTGTATTTAAACTGGATATAGCTAGCAACCAAATGATTGAATATATGAAGACAGCCGTTGTCTGGCCGTCTCTTGATTTCATTCCACGCGCTGTCGATGTAGTCGATACATGGGCTTTGGTCGCTGGCTATGGCTATTCGAACATTATGAAGAAATCCTACTCAGTTCTCGGATGTCTAATTAATCTTGCTTCGCTCCCAAATTCGTCATGCATCATTCTTGTTGATGAGACAAGTTACTTAATACCACGGGAATTAAAGTCATATAATGACCTCTACGAAATCTCAGTTGCTATTCGTGGTCGAAAAATACTCGTTGGAATACATCGTTTCAATTTAGTTGTTGTTCTTGAGAATAATAACAATTCGCTGCGTATCACGCGTAATCACACAATTTCGTACCAAGATTCCTCTTCATTTGGTCGCAGAGTAGATTGGGCTGATGAAAAAACAATCGCTGTTTTGTTGTATAGTAGTCCTCAATCAGCTTGGTCGAAATCGCAAGTATTCTTCTATGATGAAAGTTCGGTATCGTCGTCTTTGCCTCTATATACTTTTCCCAATAATCAACAGATACTTGGTTCTCGTCTGTCAAACCCTTATTTTGCTCGTTTTATGATCACGGCTGGAGGAAATATGGTCATACTTACAGAGGAACATGCCGATATTTTAATTATCCCGATTGCTTCACCAGGCACCGTTTCGATATGGATGGATACTTCGGCTTTAGTTTACGTCTTCTACTACAAACCTCAACCATGCATCGGTGGTACTTTCAAAAGTGTTTCGAGTCTGGGTCCCTGCCAAATTTGTCCACCTCGCACTCGAAATCCAGGAGAATCTTCAAATACAAGCCTTGCATGTATTCCATGTTCCGACAAGTCGACTTCTTTTTGTCCGCTGGCATCACTGGCTGAAATCGATCGGAGTACTGTACCATCTTATAGCCAAGCGACAGCCTATCCTGAAAGTCCTGAGACAACAGATATTGAGGATCTCCTTTTGGAAAATACATTTAAAATAACTTCCGATTCCAGTTGCTTGGCTATTTCTCCGCTTTTTTGGGCATCAATTGTCAGTGGTCTTAGTCTTCTTATATGGATCGTAATGTTCATGTCCAGAAATTCTAGTTGGAGGGGATATGCTAAGTATCGAGAGTTTGCCAAGAATTTTTTCAAACATGCAGATCTTATTGGAGAAGGCGAAAGGTGGGCTGGTGGTTTAGCTACTTTTACTGTCATTGTTCTTGTTGCATTTTCATACTGGTTTTTAGCGTCATTCATAGCTAGATATCCGATCGAAGAAGTATCAAAACCAGTCTCATTCTCATGTGACAAATCATTAGTCAATGCACGGTTCTCTACTGGTCTTGAACTTGTGTCTCTTCCGAAATCTGAAGATGTTCGAACAATCTTCACTATGCTTGACGAGCAAAAATTTCAATTGACAATTGATTTTATCAATACCGGATTCACGTGTAACGACATTGCCGCCCAACAAAATTTGCTTGTGACAAAATATATTCCTTTATCGAAGCGATGCATACAGTCAAAATTGAATGCAACAACGTCAATCACTCTCACTTTTCCGAATCATTATGCAACTGTGCAAATAAATTTGACTGGTCCCTTCTGGATTGGTGGATTTCGCTTGTGCTTCTTTGGTGAGGGTCGCAAAAATATGAGTAATACACTACGTCAACTCGATTTTTGTCAATTCTATGCCAATGGCAACCAGGCTATTAGTCGCTCAACTGTGATTCCTATCGTCTTCGTTAAAAACATTAATATGACCAAAGCACTAAACATAAATGATCCGGTGAAGTATTCAGGTCTGTGGATACCAACTTTTGGCAGTATCACGCTCTCAGATGAAGCTTATTATACTGATTTCGGTAACTACTTGCGTTACACTTTATCACTGACTATTATTGAAATCACTCTGAATGAGAGTCCGTATTATATAAAGAATATTCAAGAGCCGATCGTTCGAAGAGGTCAATTGATCTGCAATGGATTACTCTTTACTTTTCTATGTATTGAAATTTTTGCTTTTGCATTTCTTCTCATCAAACTTGTCATATTGCCTCTGCTTCAACAGGCCGATACTATCTGGAAAGAATACTGTCATCGATAGAATGACGATGCTGTTGCATATAAAATTGTCGAAACACTTGTGTGATATTGCGAATGCTTCTTTTTTTAATGTTCTTTTCCAACTAGGGTGTGGGTGTGAGTGAAGAGAAAATACACACCTACAGTTATACCGTTGGAAGATAAAAATGATTTTTTTCTCGTATTCATCATTATCACTGGTCATTGCAATAATTGGAATTCATTGAACTCAATTAACGAGTGTATACATATGAGGCTTAGGGAGTCATTTTGCTATTAGCTCTATTTTTCATCCTACTTTGCTCCCTTCTGTAATACACTAGTAGACATGATTCTTACGAATTGATTTTTTATAAAAGGTGATAGCAGTCATTGAGCGTACACGTACCGATGTATAGTCATAAGCGTCCAGGCCTAACATTATATATGTAGGAATATTCGCTTAAGCACACAATGATAAAGATCTAATGGTATAGACATAAGGATATATCCATAAGGATATGGTTATAAGAGGTAAGTAGATGGGGCTAATATTATTTATATGGGGGTCGGTACGCAACCTCTCGTACATAACCTTATTTTCGATTTGATAAAAATGTTTGAACGCGAAATATCTTCTACGAAAGTTTTTGCTTTACGAAATCAAACAAGGTTTCGACTATATATTCACGTGCAGAACCTCTTTAGGTTGCGTGAAAAACTTTTTATTTAGAGTGTAGCACAGTATATGACTATTACTACTAGTAGTAATTTATAATGAGAGAATGTGTTTCGTTCTTGTAGCTAATGTTTTTTTGTTCTGGTATTCAAGGCGTTGCGAGAAATTACGGGAATATATGTTGTGCAAACATATTTATTTATTTCTCTAGCTTGATCAGCATTGTGTTGTCTTATATATATACATCAGCATGTCGTCAAGTATTCATTTGCAATAACTTTCATACATTTACAATTGAAGTTTCATCATGTCACTCGTTTTATTCTGTTTCTTTGTTATTGCTTGTTTTTCTGTCATGAGTAAGCAAATCGATTAAAAAACTAGATATCACACTTATCATTTACTTTCGTACAAAAAGAATTCAAAATACTATGTCGATTCCATTTCAATTGTATCTCCATAGCGGTTATGTGCAAGTTACATTTTTGAAGAGTACAAATGATCAAGAGGAGAGGTGAGTATAGACATTGGTATTTCACTGCATTACTTGCAAAGAAACACAAAACTGGTTGATGAAAATAGATAGAGGCATGAAATGGGGTCTACAGCAAAATAAACACAGTCATGTGTTGACTAAGAAGGATACCATGTAGGCTCATATCATCTTCCGACTTAAAAACAAAATCCCGTCAGTATGCAGCATTGGCATAGAAATTTGGAATTCACTACGTTCAGTTGCAACGAGAATAAACGTCTTCTCGTTCTGTTTAGTGAAAGGATAGAATAAAACGAAGATTGTTCGGTTGATCATTTACATACGAAATAAGATCTACTATGCTTGGTTAGATTCGCTAAAATGAATATAAGACTCCGAAGTAGGGTCAAATTTTTCTTCAGGTGATTCATCATCTCAAACAAGCACCATGATTGCAAGAATTTTCAATGAAAACTCGAACATGAAATGCAAGGTGATCATGATCAGCATCATGATTTTCGATTCTCAGAGAAATATTGATTTCAATGTTGCATTCGTTTCATGACAAAATGGTGTATATAGATGAAAGTAGTAAGGCAGAAAAGAGAAGTCACAATGTGAAAACTGCAAAAGGTTTCCTTAGATTGGATTGAAATTAAGCATTTGCGAATAAGTACGAGTGAGAAGTTTTTTAGATCAAGCAAATAAGACTCAATGTGATCTATAGATCAAATTTGAATAGTACTCAAAGTGTTTTATACATTAATGGCATTCTTGTATTGAGTCATTTCATGAAAAATACTATGAAAGTAATTTCAAAGTTAACATTATGGTGATGTAAGCACAAGTACTTTCGTAACTTTCAAGGGGTTTTCAAGGCACCACTTTCCACTAAAATTCCATTCTCTATAGAACAATCATATTTATCACAGCAATATTTGTACTACAGCTATATTGGACCCATCAATTGTATTTTGATGATATTAGAAGTACTTTTTCGCTTGATACTTTTTACTTAGTATCATATACCATTTTCAGAAAGCGTGACCTCACAGATAAAGCAAGTCAGATCAATCAATATAATGAATATTAGCTTGCGACAAGTCTTATTTAACAGAATACATTAGTGATAGCTATCTATATCTACTGTAGTAAAGTTATTATCTGATATTTTGTATGAGTGAATTAGAGTCACAGAGTATGTATAATAAATGTGCTTCCAGAAATAATCTAAAAGATTGCAATATCTTTCTATTTCACAAAACCTGACTAGTCATAATAAAAGTTAAGATGCTGTTTTTTGTTTCTGAAATCAGTTGGAAATAAAAAAGAACATCATAGACTTGTTATATATCCGCAAATTTAAACTCATCGTAGTTGAATTCTAGGTATATTTTCTCCTAAAGTATATCATTTCCTAAGGAATTCATATTCATATTGATATAGATACTTTTACAGAGATTTCAGACGAAGAGACTATTGAATTTGAGCATATTCTTTCTGATATGAACACGCAAGTTTCTTCTAATCAAAATAAAGTCCGTATTCCTTTTAGAGTTAGATAATTCTTATACATCTCTTGATCTTGATTTCATGTCATTTTATGTAATTGTAGTATCTACACATCAACGAAGGACGCACATTTCGACGAATTTTAATCATGATTACCTTTAACAACACGCAAAAAAAATTTTAATTGCATCAAGAATGATTATAAAAAGATATTGGACAATTCAAAGAAATTCTACAATAGATGTTTTTTTTGCTTATCTTATACATTTTATTTTTATTTTTTGAATCTAAAAATGAAATTCATATATTTCTTCAAGGAGTTTTTTAAAACTTGTAACAAGTGAAGCAAGAATTCGTTCACCTTTATCTTGTGTCGCTCCAGTAGGATCCCCAATCACACCAGATTGACTTAAGTCTTTGGTTACCCATGCATAGGCTAGACCACCTTCAATACCTAGCAAATCGTGTTCAGACATGACCGTTGATGGATACTCTTTTTTTGCTAGATCCATTTTGACATATTTCTTCAGAAAGGTGAGCATTAAACTTGTCTCTATGTCACCAGCATGTATACCACATTTGAATTCATGTGGTGTGACTAATGTTTGACCGACATTGGGTAAGTGCCATATAAAAATAGGAAAGAGTAGAAAATCTGAATAGCGTTGTCGTAGGTCACGTGCAACAATTTCCATTACTTGTGGTTGACCACCATGCGAATTAAAAAATACAAGCTTTCGAAAGCCACTTCGATAGACACTCTCACCAATATCCATGAGTAAACTTGTCAATGTTGTAGCACTCAAGCTGATTGTACCCGGAAACGATATGTGTTCAGTTGAACGACCTGAATGTTGTGGTGGAAGAACATAAACAACAGGATTGTCTTGTGACGAAAACTGTTCGAGTGTTTTTCCGATGACTTGCAGGCCAATGGCATCATCAGTTATCAAAGGTAAGTGAGCACCGTGTTGTTCAATAGCACCTATGGGTTGAATGAGTATGACATTGGTCTTATTAGACATTTTATCAATATCATTCCATGTCAAATATGAATAATATCGTTCAGCGGGTATAGGCCCATGAAACATTTCTTTATCTAGAACATAAAGAAATGAAGAAAAAAAACCTATAACAATAACAAACTGTTTCCTAATTTATGTGGTCATTTATACGATTATACTTGAGGAGATTGTTTTACTTGGATAAGTAAACTGTACGATATATTCAATCTAGCTCTTAATCAAATAGATATCTAAGTAATGATAAAAAATTGACATAGTTACTATACAGATCAATATTTAACTATGTAATCAACTGTAGAATTTTAACTACTGGAAATATTACAAAAATATGGCTGAATCTCTTTGACAAATGCAAGAAATCGATAGAGTAGGCACCGCACACTACAGCTTCCAACCAGATCTCATTTTCGAAATTTTTTACTAGTTTTTTTTTACATTTGTCTCCGATCAAGATATGATAAAATTTCAGCGTACTCCTTGACGGTTTCTTTGTTTTTTCGTTACTGAATCAGGATGTATTACGCTTATTTTCAAGAATTAGAATACATTTCCAGGTGGTGGATTTCGTTCGAACTGGCTCAAAAGATGCAAAAAAACATCATATAAGATAGTAAGCTAGTGAAAATCGATTGAACGTGAACGCAGTATTCGGGTAAGAAAGTAACCGAATTTTCATGGTAAATTGAAATTATTTTCCACCACACAGAGTACAAAATTGGTTTGAATTCGTCATAAACATTCAGAGTACAGCTTCGGTATGAAGAATCAACAGACTAAGCACGATGAGGTTTTAGTCTAGAATATAGTCTTCACATTATGCAAATTTTTCAGCTATTTCTTGCAGAAAACTTTATGGAACAGACCGGATTAACGAGAAAATATTGTTATATTCCGATAGTTGTGGTCAAATTTTGAAACTTAACTATTTCATGTTTGCTTTTTTTCGCAATTCGCTTGTTTCTTTTTATTCATCTGTCTTATGGTCAGTACTCTCTCGATCTTATATGAGCTCCTATTCTATAAGAAATGAACGAAAATAACTTGAGTAATAATATAGTGTGGTAAGCATCGAAAGTGTCGATAATATGTACTCTTACTTCTGTAATTTGTCATCATATAATAAAATAAAGTATATGCAAGATTGTAAAAAAAGATGAGAGACGAATTAATATTTGAGAGGAATAGGAAATCGTTTCTGTTACCTTAATAGGAGAGCGTGAAACTGAATACACCATGTTACAAAATTTAAAAGTTACTAATGAGTAATGACCAACTCCAATCAGTTGCTATCTCTTTTTCTTCCGCGATTGGATTTTTTCATTTTACGGACATACTCAGGGTCATATGTTGTAATGTAGTGCAAATATAAATATTTTCATCACACAATAAATTCATGCTCCGAATTCAAAAGATAATATGAAAACAAAACTTGGGAACAGCTCACATCTGCCACACAAGCGCGTAGAAAAAAAAACAGATAAGAAATCCGCGACATTTTTCAAGCTTGATACTATCGTTATTGACAGTAGTCCCATTTTATGCTTAAATTGATTATTTTATGAAAATCATCAATATAACTTAATATAATTCAAGCATTGTTTTTTACACTTTCTTATTACATAATGGTATCACATTGTTCCAATCAAGTGAACATTTTGATAGCAAAAAGAACGACTTTTATCGATCGTAATCGACTACAGTAAAATATCGTTTGTGCATGTTATTGAATGAAATAATACAGTATCTCTCATATCAACCACTTTTTGTAGTTTCGATTGAAACTATCGAGCTGATAAAGTCAATTGACTGTACTAGAGAACAAAAATAATCTACATTCACTTTTGAATGTAGCATGCAAATGCAAATTATTTCAGTTCTTAATTGACAGAATTTGTTTTAAAAGTAGGGTGTCTAACGACGTAATGTTTAATACTTTCATTTGCAAATGGAGCAATGATCTATACAGTTGAATTATATATGAACTCCAATAGGTCTTACGCCATAATTTATTGATCCAAAAAATTGAAATTTTAAAAGTCAAACTGAATAGTAGAGGCTTATGCCATTATGCTGTTTCGAGTATATTTATATAGCACTTCTGACCTTTTTTTTTATCAATATATAGAAATCTCATAATGTATCCAATATTTCATCTAAAATACGTGAAACATAGAATGAACAACAGCTTGTTCTTTGTCTACAGAGTGTCGTGATATCCATGATTTCTATACGCATAACNGAAAAGTCTTTTACGAAAGCAGCGATGGGTCGATTTTTCCATAGGAAGCTATAGGGAAAAATCGGTATTTTTGCAATAACTCAGGAACGGCTCGGCCGATCCTTCTCATCTTCGAACTCGACCGAGATATTGTAAAGACTGAACTGTGTAGAAAATTTCATCGTGATCGGACTCTCCTTTCGAAAGTTATCGTGTAAACGGCCGGCCGGACGGACGGACGGCCGGACATACTGACCGATTCTAGAGTGTACTCACTTTTTGAGTACACAAAAATAGGTTCTGTCGTATAATTATACATGATTTAATTCAACGGTAATATATAGGCATATTTTCAAATCTTCGATTATCGAGGTCGATTACAGTTAGTCTTTGTACAACGAAGTCTCTGCTTGGAATATCACTCGAGAAGTTAAAAATAAATGTTCACATTGAATTTGTATTTGAGTTAAGACTATATCTTGATAGATTAGCTGGTGAAAGCGTTCTCTGGTTACCAGTTTTGATACTACCTGGATTCGAATGCTAGTCATGACTCTTTTCTTTTCTCTGTGTTTCATTCTTTTCGAGTGATGAATAATAGCCGTTCTACCGTTTGAAGAATGAATAAGTATTCAAATAGAAATTCAAGTATTCATCGATTAAACTATTCAAATATTCAACTATTCAACTGTACAAATATTCCAATTGCCAGTTCAACTTCTGAAATATTCACTTCAAGTATTTAACTTATTGATCCAATTATTGAAGTATGAAAGCATTCAAGTAATCATTTATTCAAGTATTCAGGTATTCAAATATTCAACTTGAAGGATGCAGCAGAAACACACATGCACACATCTCTCTTGATGCACATGTGTGTTTGCATAGCACTCATATAAAAAGACTCGTGAGTGTTTATGTTTGCGCAGTATCTATATGGAGCGAATTGTGTCTGCTTTCGCAGCACTCCTATCGAGAGAGTTGTGAATGTGTGTTTGCACGGCACCCATATCGAGAGACATGTATATGTTTACGTGGCACTCGATTATTGCATAGTTGAAAACTTCAATGATTCAATTATTGAGTAGTTAAATTCAACTTTCATGTTTGATATGTATGCGAGGGCTGCTCCTAAATATTTTTTCTGATTTTTTTCAGATCAAATGAGAGAGCATATTACGAAATTGAGGAATCCAAAATATTAAGATATTCTCACATACTTGTAAAAAAATGTCGACGATCATATTCCTTCATTTTTTATGGTTGGGGCATAAAAGTAAAAAAAAAGCTGTGTGTTTTACATTTTGATGATATTTTAAGACTTTCTCTGTCACCGCTCATTGCTTTAAGGTTGGAAAGGTCTCAAAAGATGCGAAAGAAGAATTCGCTAGAACATGTGATAAGTCAATAGTCATTACAATAGCATTAAGTAATCAAGCGTGCCTCGACAAAGAAGACGATTCTATGGTTTATGAATATTATCTTGCAAGTAACTTGCCTTCAACATTGTTGAGCTTCAGCATTCCAAACAATTAAGCTAGATTCTGAAAGCGCTTCAAATGTTGCATTGTTTGAGATAGTATTCACAAGAGAAAAGACTTGTAAGATCATACAAAGTTGTCAATATGGAGTTCGTATTTAGTATTTCTTTATTATTATTATTACAGCTCCTCTGTACTCTCGTCTAAGAATATTTTTAAGAAAATTAGGCAGTGATACTTCTCGAGATTGTTTTTTTTTAATAAATCATAAATTTTGCCAAAATATTTCTAATCTAATGTAGGTTTCTATGCTGATTTCGAATATGCGATCTATTTGGCTCTAAAAATGGACTATAATAATGAAAATTGTTAAAAAACAAGCGCAATTTTAGCAGTCTTATATGGCTTTAAGACTAGCTTGGAAAAAAGTTCGATTTTCTCAATATAAAAACAACTTTTCTTACAAAAACCTCGACAGGCTAACCATGCTTGACCTTTTTTCAGTTTTATAAAGCGTACATTCAAGTAAATAGTATTTACATGTTCAATTTTTGATGCTGATCATGAAGTTGAAGTTATACTGTTTTGGAACAAGCCTAGTCTACATAGTGGCCAATTGCTCTGTACTTTAGATAATATATAAAAACTGCAGGATTTCAAAGGTTTTCAGACATTAGTTTCATTTTTTATAATCCGATGACTCGATGAGAATAGACGCAAATCACTAGCACAAGGGCGTCCATCAAGCGTAGACCCTTTATTTTGTGAAGGCACGATCGATTATTAAAATTTATGAGGATGATCACTGATGTAGTCCATTTTACAGAGAATTCTTGGATGCATCTTCTGAGATCTTCCCCTAACCAAAACAGACGATCAAACACAGTAAAATTAAAAAAAGAAGCATCAAAATGTGTAAAAAGCCATTTATTTAATTTTTATGGTCTAACCACAACAAATTGGAAGATTATGATCTTCGGCATTTTTCATCAGTACGTCAGAAAAACTTAATATTTTGAATTCATAAGTTTCGCGACATGATCTCTTATTCAAGCTGGAATAATCTAGAAAAAAATTAAGCAGCCACTGGCTTGTGTGACCGTTTGGCGCATCCTTTCTCGAAGGTAAGACTATTGGTACCGTATGAACAGGGTTTCGCTAGTTTTATCGGATGCATCGAAGTATATCGACACATTCTCTTTCTCCACTTACCTATGCGTAATATAGAAAGGTATACGAAATTAGCACATCATGTGAATCAAAATGAGTGAACAAAAAAGGTGTGCTTATTCTATAAGCACGAAGAACTTAATTCTTGTACGAATACATCTCAGAATAAACAAGACAAAAAATATTAATCCTTGTTGATGTTTATGATATTGATTTCAAAGAATATTATAATCTAAATACTGAAAGTTTCGAATTAGGCTGAATTCATCATATAACAGCACCGACTGCATTAAATTATACTCTGATAGTCAGTGCATAGAAATTTTAAGAGTGAGTGTCAGATAAAATGTGATACGCTTCAAACACTCACCATGGAATGGAACCTCAGAATGGGTTGATCTTTAAATGTAGTGTAGGGTCTCGATCGTCCAGTACTACTTTTTTAGTAATTTCTCTATAATATTTTAGGGTCAGATTCAGAGTGAAGCTTTGATTATCTCAACTTTCTTTTACCACTGTTATATGTTTTTTTGTAAGAATATTGTACCCATATGAAGTAGTTATCGTTTGCCAATATCGCTTTACTTAATTTTTCTTATTCACTCCTTTTTTTAAAAGATAGGCATTTATGGGCAAAAAAAGAGTGCTGAATCACGGTGACGCGGGGCACGTAGAACTTTACTAAAATTGTCAGGAATGCGTTGATGAATATTTATAAATAGTGTTACGTATGTATTAACACCAGATCCTCAGTAGGACTATTGAAAAATAATATAAAACTTGCAAAGACATACGAAGAAGTAGAAAAAGGCGTAGACGATATCATCAAAACGGAAGTATAGCATAAGCGAATAAACTTTTATTCAATGGGGTAAATTTTCACATTAAATCCGTTGTTATGTATATTAGATAGATAAGTTTTAAAAATTTGAAAAATTGATGTCTCACTTTTATTTCATACAAGTTGTTGTTCAGCCTTTTCATAAATTTAGTTGGACATTCTGTTCGTATTTTCATATCACTGGATAATACATACTTTTCTCTAACAAATATTCACATATGATGATAAAAATACATGCTAAATTGTATGGTTTTTATTCAGAAATCGATAGTTTCTGCGGAATTTTTAAGAAATGCTTTAGTTTTAACCCGATATTATATGATTTATTGCCAAGAAATTCATGTAGCAAACGAAATTTTAGGTTGAAAAACTTATATGCCTTGAGCTGAGATATTGTGATGATTTGTGAAGTGTTGCATTCTAATAATACAATGTTTTCAAACTGTGTAGTGTAAAATGAGGAAAAATTGTTAGATATTGTGGTTGAAATCACATCTTAGAATAGAACCTATGTATTTCAGAAACGGTGTATTAGAAACAAAGCAGTCAGGCTTCATGTAAAAGTTCATATAATATTGGGCCCAAACTAAAATGTTTCTTAAAAACTCCAGAGAACCTATCTTTTCAAACTGCTTTCGACTGAAATCTAACTGACTATATTCTGCATTAAATGCTATCTAAGCACTTTTTTCTTCGGCTGGAAGAAACATATAATTGAAATAATAACTAAAAGAACTATTTAAAAACATTTTATCATCCTAGTTTGATGGTTCATTCCATCAAACTACGGCAATTCCTATTTTAATTTTCTCAGAAAGCCTTCATTGACAGAAAATTGGAAAAAATAAAACATACAGTGTGCTTTTTCCTCAGTATACTCAACATATGATTATAATTTGAAAGACATACTTGTGAACATGGAGATGCAACACTATTTATATCCATAATTTGGTGACGACACGAAGTGTTTTTATAATTTTCTACCCCCTCATATAAATTACAAAGAGCCATCTGAGTCGTGACATCAGTTAAGTCCTGGCGATACTATTCAGTTATACAAAGTAGAGTGACTCAGTCATTGTAAATGTTGTGGTTTGCCCAGTGTCAAACTTTGAGGACGTCTGTTTGATTTCATCTTTCACTACAAGAACAAACATGTTCGCAAAAAGAAAAGGTCTCATCAATTTTCTTTCCTATAAAATATATACAACTGATATACTTGCAAGCCAGTACCAATCGAAATTAGTTATTCTAGGTTAGAAGCAATAACAAGTAACAGTGGTAATTGCTAAGAAGACATTTTCAAGTTCAATGCTCATTTTACCCTACGTTTGGTTTCTTTTGATAATCTCTTGTCGAGTTTCGTTGTGCTTGTATGATATAAAGACTTTAGCCGCGGGCGTGAAAATATCGGCGAATGAATACATGGTTGTCTCCGTATCAAACACTTTTTCGAATTTTGCAATCGTCATAAACCCATTCAGCGTCGCCGATACTAATGGCTCGACTAAATGTAACATGCGTTATAACACTACCGATTGGTATGTTTACAGTGTAGCTGTAGTTGGTGTGATAAATCAGAGTCTCGATTCAGATTCATTCGTCTTTGTTTTTGCCGCTGAAATAATATCAACGGTGATACCGTTTGCGTGTATTGGAACTATTTCAAAATTAACTTGTAACTACACATATCAGTGCACAAATCCGGGCTCGTCTGGATCTCATCAGGAATATTTTCTAATCGGTTCAGATACGCGTCGCAATTTTGCGTATGGATTTACAAGTTCTTTTGTATTTAAACTGGATATAGTCAGCAACCAAATGATTGAATGTATGAAGACAGCCGTTGTCTGGCCGTCTCTCGATTTCATTCCACGTGCTGTCGATGTAGCCGACACATGGGCTTTGGTCACTGGTTATGGTTATTCAAATATCATAAAAAAATCCTACTCAGTTCTCGGATGTTTAATTAATCTTGTTTCGCTCCCAAATTCATCATGCATCGTTCTCGCTGATGAGACAAGTTACTTAATACCATGGGAATTACAATCATATAATGATCTTTACGAAATCTCAGTGGCTATTCGTGGTCGAAAAATACTCGTCGGAATACATCGTTTGAATTTAGTCGTTGTTCTTGAGAATAATAATAATTCGCTGAGTATTACTCATAATCACACAATTTCGTACCAAGATTCTTCTTCATTTGGTCGCGGAGTAGATTGGGCTGATGAAAAAACAATCGCTGTTTTGGTGCACAGAAGTCCTCAATCAGCTTGGTCGAAATCACAAGTGTTCTTCTATGATGAAAGGTCGGTATCGTCGTCTTCGCCTCTATATACTTTTCCCAATAATCAACAGATACTTGGTTCTCGTCTGTCAAACCCTTATTTTGCTCGTTTTATGATCACGGCTGGCGGCAATATGGTCATACTTACAGAGGAATATGCCGATATTTTAATTATACCGATTGCTTCACCCGGTTCTGTTTCGATATGGATTGATACTTCGACTTTAGTTTACGTCTTCTACTACAAACCTCAACCATGCATCGGTGGTACTTTCAAAAGTGTCTCGAGTATGGGTCCCTGCCAAATTTGTCCACCTCGCACTCGAAATCCAGGGGAATCTTCAAATACAAGCCTTCCATGTATTCCATGTTCCAACAAGTCGAGTTCTTTTTGTCCGCTGGCATCACTGACTGAAATTGATCGGAGTACTGTACCTTCTTATAGCCAAGCGGCAGCCTATCCTGAAAGTCCTGAGACAACAGATATTGAGGATCTCCTTTTGGAAAATACATTTAAAATAACTTCCGATTCCAGTTGCTTGACCATTTCTCCGCTCTTTTGGGCATTAGTTGTCAGTGGTCTTAGTCTTCTTATATGGATCGCAATGTTCATGTCCAGAAATTCTAGTTGTAGGGGATATGCTAAGTATCGAGAGTTTGCCAAGAATTTTTTCAAACATGCAGATCTAATTGGAGAAGGCGAAAGATGGGCTGGTGGTTTAGCTACTTTTACTGTCATTGTTCTTGTTGCATTTTCATACTGGTTTTTAGCGTCATTCATAGGAAGATATCCGATCGAAGAAGTATCAAAACCAGTCTCATTCTCATGTGACAAATCATTAGCCAATGCAAAGTTCTCTACTGATCTTGAACTTCTGTCTCTTCCGAAATCTGAAGATGTTCAAACGATCTTCACTATGCTTGACGAGCAAAAATTTCAATTGACAATTGATTTTATCAATACTGGATTCACGTGTAACGACATTGCCGCCCAACAAAATTTGCTTGTGACAAAATATATTCCTTTATCGACGCGATGCATACAGTCAAAATTGAATGCAACAACGTCAATCACTCTCATTTTCCCGAATCATTATGCAACTGTGCAAATTAATTTGACTGGTCCCTTCTGGATTGGTGGATTTCGCTTGTGCTTCTCTGGTGAAGGTCGCACAAAATTGAGTAATACACTACGTGAACTCGATTTTTGTCAATTCTATGCCGATGGCAACCAGGCCATTAGTCGCTCGACTATGATTCCTATCGTCCTCGTTAAAAACATTAATATGACCAAAGCACTAAACACAGATGATCCGGTGAAGTATTCAGGTCTGTGGATACCGATTTTTGGCAGTGTCACACTCTCAGATGAAGCTTACTATACTGATTTTGGTAACTACTTACGTTACACTTTGTCATTGACTATTATTGAAATCACTCTGAATGAGAGTCCGTTTTATATAAAGAATATTCAAGAGCCGATCGTTCGAAGAGGTCAATTGGTCTTCAATGGATTACTCTTTACTTTTCTATGTATTGAAATTTTTGGTTTTGCATTTCTTCTCATCAAACTTGTCATATTGCCTCTGCTTCAACAGGCCGATACTATCTGGAAAGAACACTGTCATCGATAGAATGACGATGCTGTTGCACATAAAATTGTTGAAACACTTGTGTGACATTTATAATGCTCCTTTTTTTATATTCTTTTCCAACTACTTTGACATTTACTTTTCTCGTTGCAGGGTGAAAGACGAGAGAGCCAGAGTTAAGAAAAGGTGTGTATGCATGTACGTGTGAGTTGAGATGTGGATGTGAGTAAAGAGAAAATACACACCCACAGTCACACTGTTAAAATATAAAAATGATTTTTTTCTCGTCTCCATCATTATCACTGACCATTGCAATAATTGGAATTCATTGAGATCCGAAGTCATTGGACTCAATTAACGAGTGTACAGATATGAGGCTTACAGAGTCGTTTTGCTAGTAGCTCTATTTTTCATCTTACTTTGCTCCATTCTGTAATATACCAGTAGACATGGCTCTTACAAATTCAATTTTATAAAGAGTGATAGTAGTCATTGAGCGTATACGTACCGAGGTATAGCCATAAGCGTCCAGATCTAACAGTACATATATAGGAATATTGGCTTAAGCACACAATGATAAAGATCTAATGGTTTAGACCTAAGAATATATCCATAAGGATATGGTTATAAGAGGTAAGTAGTAGCTAGGGCTAATATTATTTATATAGGGGTCGGTATGCAACCTCTCATATAAAACCTTATTTTCGATTTGGTAAAAATGTTGAGCATGAAACTTCTTCTACAAAAGTTTTTGTTTTACGAAATCAAACAAGGTTTCGACTATATATCCACGCGCAGAACCTCTTTAGGTTGCATGAAAAACCTTTTATTTAGAGTGGAACACACTATATGACTATTACTACTAGTAGTAATTTATAATGAGAGAATGTGTTTCGTTCTCGTAACTAATGTTATTTTTATACTGCACGCTTCTTTATTTTGTTTTTTTGTTCAGTTATTCATGGCGTTGGGAGAAATTACGGGAACATATGTTGTGCAAACATATTTATCTATTTCTCTAACCTGATCAGTATTGTGTTATCTTATATATATAAATATACATCAGCCTGTCGTCAAGTATTCATTTGCAATAACTTTCATACATTTACAATTGAAGTTTCATCATGTCACTCGTTTTATTCTGTTTCTTTGTTATTGTTTGTTTTTCTGTCATGAGTAAGCAAATCGATTCAAAAACTAGATATCACACTTATCATTTACTTTCTTGCAAAAAGAATTCAAAATACTATGTCGGTTCCATTTCAATTTTATCTCCATAGCGATCATACTCAAGTTGCGTTTTCGCAAAGTACAAATGATCAAGAGAAGAGGTGACTAGAAATTGGTATTTCACTGCATTGCTTGTGAAGAAAAATAAAAAACTGGTTGATGAAGATGGATAGAGCCATGAAATGGAGTCTACAGAAAAATAAACACAGTTATGCGTTAACTAAGAAGGATACCATGCAGGCTCATATCTTTTTCCGGCTTAAAAACTAAATCCCGCCAGTATGTAGCATTGATATAGAAATTTGGAATCCACTACGTTCAGTTGCAACGAGAACAAATGTCTTATCGTTCTGTTTAGTGGAAGATCAGAATAAAACGAAGATTGTTCAGTTGATCATCTGCATACAAAATGAGATCTACTGTACTTGGTTAGATTCGCTAAAATGAATATAAGACTCCGAAGTAGGGTCAAATTTTTCTTCAGATGAATCATCATCGCAAACAAGCACCATGATTGCGAGAATTTTCAATGAAAACTCGAACATGAAATACAAGGTGATTATGATCTGCATCATGATTTTCGATATTAAAAAAACTATTGATTTTAATGTTGCATTCGTTTCATGACAAAACAGTGTATATAGATGAAAGTAGTAAGGCAAAAAAGAGAAGTCACAATGTGAATACTGCAAAAGGTTTCCTTAGATTGAATTGAAATTAAGCATTTGCGAATAAGTACGAGTGAGAAGTTTTTTAGATCAAGCAAATAAGACTCAATGTGATCTATAGATCAAATTTGAATAGTACTCAAAGTGTTTTATACACAAGGGGGAATCATCAGAGACTTCAGCCGTGAAGTCTTTGAAGTCTCATGAAGTCTCATAAAGTCTTCTGAAGTCTTTTGAAGTCTTATGAATTATCATAAAGTCTCATAAAGTCTCTGAAGTCTTTGAAGTCAAATGAAGTCTCATAAAGTCTCATGAAGTCTCTTGAAGTCACTTGAAGTCTCTTGAAGT